GTTATATATATATACACACACACTAATTTGTTGCCTTAAAACAGGATACCCAAAAAAAAAATCCTTAAAACAGACAGATGAAATATGCTCATGTATATATTATATGGTCCGGCAGTAATAAAAGAAATGATTCTTATAAATAAAACCCATCACGGAAAATCACAAAAAAAAAGGGAGAAGACAAATGAAAATGAATCACGTGAGCAAAACAATTCCAGAAAACGTGGAAGGACACATGAACAAGACAGAACATATCTGCACTGCACCACGTCCTGATCCATCGCCCTCTCCCCCACGACAGTAATTATTATTATTATTATTAAAAAATAATTAATTAATTAAATATTTATTTATTTAATTTTTACTTCTAAGCCAATGGAGACTTGGGAATTAGAAAATGTGGGAAACAAAGTATAGTCAATGAAGGTTGTCATTAAGTTTGGGAGTTAACGAATAAATTTTGGTCAGGTTAGGATTGGTTCGTGGATAGAAAATGTTGAACCGAATTTAATTCAGTTTGGTTCGGTTCGAAAACAAATGCAAAGTTGCTAACTGAACAAGGATGGATCGGTTTCGTTAGGGAAAAAAATTGCCAAGATGAAACCCCCTTAATCCTCCAAATCGCGTAATGTATTATTTATATAGTTTAATAACATTGTTTCCAATGAAAAATATAATACTGATCGATACCTTCTGATTTTGATATGGCTGTTGCATACAAAAAACATTACACTCAAACATTTGACACACACACACACAACTTTTTTTTTTCATAATCCAAAAGTTCACTGAACATTTGGTCCAACTACATCTCCGATCGGAGAAGTTCTGGTGAATGTCTCTCTTCACGCTTGAGTTTGAATCCAGGATGAGAGCATGCTTCACATATTCTCTCACCACTGGACCACCTAAATTTGGGTCACACACACAACTTTATTATTCAATTCAATAAAAGAGAATTATAGATTTGTTTGTATAGCTTAATTCAAGATAAAAGTACGAGACAATCACCTAAAAAATCACGAATTTTCTACAAAAATTTCGTATAAAATAATGAAAATTATAATTTTTATATCAAATCACGAATTTTATAAACCTTGACATATGCCCAATTCATAAGTTTTATATAAAAATTATAATTTTCATAATATAATAAATATATAGAAATATAATTGGATTAAAAATTATAAAGTTGATGATTTTATATGATTTTTTTTAAGTCATGATTTTTAAACTATTGTCGTTATAAAAATTTAAAAGGATCGACAAAAACAATTGGGGTGTAATTCGTAAATAGTAAAGAAGTAGAGGGGCTATATGAGAAATATTCGTTTCTGCCTGGTAAAAAAACACATCCTCCCCAACAATAACATCCCAAGAGACAAGAACCTAAAATTTCAACACCAAGGCTCTGTTCTGTTCTATCATGTCTGAAAGGGCAGAAGATATCATCAATAATAATAACGTCGTAATCTTGAGTCCTTTGTTTTGTTCAGAAAAGCCTGCATGATCTCCACCGCAAGGCTAGGGTTCTTCTCCACAAACGGCTTAAAATTTTGCGAAAACGCTATCTCGTCCATATGTTCTATAATATACCTCGAGACAGCCTCGTTAAGGGGCTTATCTGAAGGAATATCCGAGAGCTCCAGAACATCGAGAGCGTTTGAGGAGTTAAGGTTGGAAATAAGATGGTTTCTACAGAGATCTTGAAGGTAAGGGATCTCGTATTTATCTGCTGCGAGGTAGAGAGGGCGGACATGCTGCTTGAGTTCTGTGAAGGACAACGACCCATTGTACAAGAACTCGAGGAAAGTCTTTAGTTCTTCGTGTTTCAGCTCAGACAGGGTGATTGTTTCGTCTTGTGAAGCTTTGCATTCGTCTGATTCTAACATGTCTCTGAACACCTTCGATCTCGCAGCCTATATGTATAAAACAAATGGGTAGCTAAAACATTGATACTTCTGCAACGGAATCTATCGGGTATTGTTTCCCTTTAACCTTTAGATATAACAGGTTATGTTGATGAAAAAGATTGAATTCACGGAGAAAAGAAGGTACCAAAATGACTTTGTGGGCAGGGATGGCATTGTCGTCGTCTCCTGGCTTGAGTCGGATATCGACCTGCCATTGTTCTTTGAAGGCCTTAACAAGTCCCCCGAAGAAAACCTCCTTGTGCGTAGATTCACTGGCCATACCCTGCGGTAGAAATCATGAAATCACAACACGATAAACCACAACGAAAACCATTGCCATGAGAATTAAGACTCTCTGGATTTTGACAAATCCTCAGACTGCAAAAGACTCCAACTTGAGATTCAGAACAATCTCAGTCCCCCAAATCTGAATTCTCTATGCTCAAATTACAACTGCGAGAAGAATGCAATAGACCTTTTTTTTTTTTTTGCCAAAATCAGTGACTTATCCGCAAATAGTAGTCAAGTGGGTTCAAAGCCTAGCAGCTTGTTACAATGTACAACCCAAAATGATTGACCAAAATACCCGGAAACAATCGTGGAGTAGTGCTTGTGGATGAACTCAAAGATCAACTTTGTGTTGGATCAAATTCCCCGAAAACAATGGTAGAGTAGTAAAGAATACAGATGAAATTTGTGCTGGATGCTTCAATTTCTAACCCAATAAACCATGGAAAAGATAGTAACCAGGTTGCATCATAGACGTTTCTGAGAACAATATCAGGAAATTTACAAATAACAAAGAGAATAATAAATGGAAACCTTATTCCAAGATGGGAGGACAAACAGAAAAACCAAGGTTTGAAGGAAAATTCGAGGGAAGCTTCACGACTCTAAGGTGTTCTTGGGGATTATCTGAGAGATCAAACCAATCTCAAAAGTTTCCTTTCTAAAAAATTCGACCTTTCATTTGGCTTTGGAAAGAAGCCCTTCTATTTCAACAAAACCTCTACTCTGTTTTTGTTTTCCTCCTTTATATTTTACTTAGCTGAGAAGTTTCATCACTTTGTCTCTGTGTATACCCACTTTTGATCTTGTGGAGAAGCGAGTCCCATAAAAATCCTGATAATTTAACAAAAGGGTCTTCATAATTTGCATAAAGGCAACTTTTTGGTTGTGAATTAAGATAAACCCTAAACTCTGTTCTTCCTCGATGGTCGAAAAACTTGACGGAATATTCAGAACTAGCAAGATCAAATTCTATCTCTCACCAGCAACAAACTAAAGGGAGGCGATGAGGAAAGTTTGAAGTAAAGAGTTAACAAAAAACCGCGATTTCTGGGGTTTTTTTCTCGCATTTTCTCACCAATCAAACAGACCTTGAAGCCAAATCCAAGAAATAAAGAATTTTCTAGAGAAAGAATCTCACCTTTTTTCTGGCAACCTAAAAGGTTTCCAGTCTCACCGATTCTTTTTCACGGCGAAGCGTACGATGCTAGCACCTCTGCTCTTCCATTCTTGCAAACACAGGAAAATAAAAAATGCACGGCCTTTCATTCGGTTTGGCTCGCTCTTTTTTTGGTTTTGTAAAATTATTCTGAATAAACCGGATCGGTTAGATTTGGTTAAATTAAGGTTCGCCTTCTTATGCACAAAGCCCTACTCAATAAATCCTGTTTATAAAATTGAAATGCGAAATAGTTAAAACGACATCCCAAAAAGTATTTACTTGTTTTTCATTTTCCTAATCTCTTTATAGGCCTCTTTAAATTTCCAATTTTGGTTTGGTTTTGCCCTTTTATTCACACAATTTTCTTTCTTTTTATACGACTTTAATTTTTTACTTGGGGGTTTAAGTTTTTTACTTGGATATTTTTATTCAATCAAAATCTAATAATAATAATAATTATAATAATAATAATAATAGCCCCATAACCATTAAATTTAGCTCGTACCAACCATGTTTTGAAGATTTCACATCCCAAAAATTCTTGCACGATCACATTTTCTTTGTTGTGAACTATATATTATTCTGTTCTTACGAATAACAATTAGATCAAATAGTAAAAAAGACAATAATAAAGTTTTAAAATTTCACTACATGTTAATTAATTGCTCACTAACTACCTCTTTTGCTCTAGAAACTGTTGGACAATTGACATAGTATTTATCACATACGTTTGGTTTATTTAATTTCATATATTATTGCACATCCATTGTACGTTTCTCTTTCATGCAAATATTCGAATATGATCCAAATTTAGATAGTTCAACGGGTGAAACGAATACGCAAAACGTCGTCTCATACCGAATTTAAACCTTCGAACCTCAAGTTTAAAAAGGGGACGAATATTCTAAATCTAGATTATTCTTACAACAACAGATACTTTGTATAAGACACTTTACTTCATCGAGATTACTACATATGGCAAGAAACATTAAAAGCCTCACTTGAGTCTTTCCCTTCTAAGCCTCTCCAGTTCCAACACCATTTGCCAGTGCTCTAATGAAAGTGTTGTCTCACCATAACTTGCAGACATCAAACGAGCCATCGTCAACAATCTGCATCACAACAACAACAAAAAAAAACCAAATTTTGTTGCACTTGATCATATACTCGTGCCCATATGAAATAGAAAACGAGAAACATAGAAGGCAATACAAATTATGGGTGGCCATTTAGGTCCGGTTATGCAAAAACGAACCAATCCGGAATTGAATAACACATAAAAAACCCGAACCTGAACTGAAACCAAAATGGCCACTCCTAAAAAAACACAGTCAAAGGCTTTGGTACCTGCTCAAGTCTTGGCTGCCTAAACTACGATCTGCTTGCCTCGCTGCTACCAAATCATTCTCCACCACCTGCGAATGTATATGACAACAATTGTGTTCAAAACACCAACATGTGAAACAGAGGGTTTCTTTCTTCAAAGACAGCCTGATTAATTAAGTTGTGAGACTCTCTGGTTTTAAAGACATGCAAATTACCTGTTGAATCTCCTGTCCTATTGAGTGGGATAGCGATCTACAAGTTGCTAAGTACCACCTCCAAGATTCTGCTGCTTCCGGGGCTATTTCCTCGAGGGAATTCACTTCAGAAGGTTGAAAAGGTACAACCACATCAGCAGGCATAATGTTCGACTTCCCCTCGGAGAATATAAGCATTTGAACATCTGCTGGCATTTCCATTTTGTAGTACTGGAAATCATACTCCAACTGAAACAATAATATAGGTCAAACAAATTAATACTTTAGGAGTTGATGAAGCAAAAAAAAAAGAAAAAGAATTAACGTTTACTCTACATTACCTTCTGATATTCCAATAGATTTTTCAGCAAACTTGCATTCTCAACCCCGACAGAGTTCAAAGTGCCAGGTTCCAACTGGGTTTCATCAAATGTCAAGTGTGTACCTTCAGCAAGTTGCAGAATTCCAGTCACCAATCTGGGTCATTAACAAAATTTTGTTTTTTTCTTTTATCTCAAATGACTCACAGAAACAGGAAGATGTAATAAAGAAGCAAAAATTTTGAAGGCACTTCACTACACAATAGAGATGGATCTTGCCTGTTTGTTTGATAATCTTTCTTGGGGGCAAGGGAGGTTGTGTTTAGATACTCGATAGTAAGTGGTATAGACTGTGTGAATGGTAGGAGACTCTTGAGGGCGTGACTAAGTCGGGTACCGAAGATAGATACGCTTTCCTTATTCAGCCGCATGAGATTAAGTGAAAGCTTACCCATTGCAACATTATCTACTCTACCATGCACCTAGTATCAAAGGCAACAGCATGAGAATAAACAAAATGTAACTTGCTATTCTCAGTTCCATAAAAGGAATTAAGCGTAGCCTAGTACCTTCGATAGAAGATGCAACAATACAAAGTGAGCCACAATGTAATCATTTCCAAGCAAGCCTGTAAGGTGCTTCATCAAACTCTCTCTTATCTCCTTGAATATTTGGGGGGACTTTGGCTGCAGGATCGAATTAACAAGAGCTTTGAGAAACAATGCAGGAAAAAAGGTATTCAAGATAGCTGAAAACTGTATCTGCTAACACTTGCCTCTATCAAAGGAGCGCACAGAAAGTGTTGTGCTTCAAGCTTCCGGTGGATAATGCAATGGAGGCGTGGAACCTTAATCAGAAAGCCCAGTTACTTACATAATGAATATCCATATGTATACTGATACTGATTGGAAACATTTGAATTATGTTGCTACCTTTCCAGGGGGCAACTGAACTGTGTCAACCTCAAGTCCTTCGGAGGATTCATCATGGGCATCTCTATCTGCCACACTGTCTGGTTCAAAATTTAACACCCCTATAAACTCAATCACATCGTTCAGCTTCAGTTCTGCCTCTGGAGAATCATATATCTGCAGATAGAGAAGCCCATGATGAACATATGCATGTTAATGTATAATATTCCCGTGATTTGTATATATGCATGTTAATGTAAAACAAATTTACAAGAAATCAAATATTTACCTTCACAAGACAAGGAATGTAATCTTTGTTAACAGCGGGCTGAATAGCCAAATTCATTGGTGCATTATCAGTCCCCCTAACCAGAGATTCCGAAGATGAAGAATGACCTTCATCCACTCTCTAGTATACAGAAAATCGAAAAGGTCAAGGATATTCTCACACAAATTAATCAGAATACGAAGTTTATTTGCAATAAGTAAAACCTATGCTTCTCATAGTGGCAGTTCTAGAAACATTTTCCAATCTATGGTCTTTCTTACCAGTTGATTGAATCAATGCCAACTTAAGCACTGTCATGTTTTTGCTAACAAATTAATGATAGAGTATGAATTCTTACCATTTTCTTGGCGGGAGAATCTCTGAAGTCACTCTCGGACATCTGTCATTACATATGGTAAGTCATGTAAACTATATAGATAAAAAAAAATCCTAATTTTTTTTTATAAAGAAACATGTGGAACCTGAACACGATAATAACATCCATCTTATCACACCTATGACTATCTAATCGATTTGAGACAGAGCAATATTCATCAACATCCCTACCCATGACAACTCAAAGCATTTAATCGAATTTCATTCACCTCCCCTAGAGATCATAATCTAAGGTAGTATGAGACTTGCAATACAGTAAGACATCCATAACTACCTAAGATAATATCAAGTGCAATAAAATGACAATATGTAAAACAAACTAGACAAGAATTTACATTCAAGTCCATGGAGTCAGTCATTTCTTCATCTGCCCTCGAACGCTTTTCCCTGCACTCGCCTGTAAGATCCATGAAGCTGTTCTTCAATGCCTCAGAGGAAGGTTCAGTCCATGAATTTTGTCCAGGGATCTGCATATTACTGACCATATGAAAATTCTCTCCACAAATTTGACTATGTATGAACACCATACATACACATGCAAACAAAGGCCACCATGAATAATGAGAACATACAGGAATGCAGTATAGCAGGCGACGCTCCCAGATTCGCATATCAGGGGAAGAAGCTGAGGGAAACTGGGAAACATCACTGTACTTATTGGTTCTCCACGTGGAACCATCCTTAACAAAGAAAAAAACACATTTATCTTATGCTAGTGACAAAACCGAGATTACAATCTTCTTTATTACAAACGGTAAGAGATAGATTGACTACCTTGTAAGCACCGACATAGAATTCATTTCCAAGCATGTCCTGTATCATCCCACGAAATCTGACAAGACTGTTGGGCTGTACCCATTTGATAGACGACGAATCGAGGATTGGAACCTGCATTAGACAAACACCACATCTCATAATTCTCAGCAAAATACCACCAGTGAGCAAATAATTTGAAAGGCAACAGCTAAATATTAACCACAAATCATTCACCAGCAAGAACAAAACCTCGAAACCCAATCAACCAACAAAGCCCAGACCAAACCAGAAAGTAATTGATTTTACCAGTAGTTTAAACCCACAGATGAAAAATTCATAGTTTAGTTTTGGGTTTCCTCGGTGATCTTTCAAAACCGATCAACCATAAATCCTAAACCGAATGGCTTAAACCCTGAAGAATCTTACTTTTGTTTTGGGTTTCCTCGGAGATATTTAAAAACCAATCAACCAGAAATCCTAAATCGAATGCCTTAAACCCTAACCAGATAAGCATAGACTGTCTTGAACCGAGGAGAGCTCTACGAGAACAGTAACCTGGGAGAAAGCAGCTTCGTCGGAGAAGAGGTGTCGGAAGAGATCGACGGCGCCCCAGTCTCCACCGTCAAATGACGCCGGATCGGAGCCGGAAGATATCGCCTTTTCGAAGGTGAATCGGACGGCTCCAAGCGGATTTGCTAGACAATCGTACGGAGGTCCTCCCATTTCCGGATCTCTGGAAACGTGTCCGCGTTGTAGGATCTGTGAAGCGAACATGTGCGGTGAGAAGTGGGCTGTTCCAGAATTACTCCCGCGAATTAGGGCATATACTGCAGTTGGGATTTTCCCGCCATCTTATGTAACATTTTCCCGCTAATTCCCGCATCCATTCGTGAGTGTGTACCCATTTTACATAATGGTATGGATATTAAAAATGTAATAGAATAAAAATCTAATCCACTTATGTAAATTTAAATTATTGTGATTTTTCTAAAATGAATTTAATTAAATTTAATTTAAAAATAACATTAAATTTTGAAAAAAAAATTCTTTAAAAATGGATATATTTGTTTTTACAAAACCTACGCCCGAATTTAATTTTTTAAAAATACTTATTTAATAATTTAATTTTTTAATTTGGATTCATTAATCTAGCTTAAAAAATCAGATCCAATTAAATTTTGCCAGTTCAGATTCAATTGATTTTAGATGGAATTTGTTTTAAATATAATTAGATAATATTTATTCGGATCCAGAATTTGGAATGAACTCATGAATCATGATGAAGCCATGTTATATATATATATATATATATATATATATATATATATACTCCAATCATTTTCTTCACAGAAAACAAACAACCCATACCAATGCCCCGTGTATCTACATGCTACATGAACGTACCAAATATCCTTTTTTGGGACATATTTATAATGAAAATAATTTCCTTTACTGCTATTATGATTAGTGGAATTTGTTTCATGCTCAATGCACAGCTCTACCACCACTATATATATATATAATATTTAACAATATACATCATTTTAGTATTTTATTTACATAAATGGAACTCCCACACAGCAAAGGCATTAATGAAAATACCAATAAAACCAAATGGAGGACAATACCATGATACCACATCACATGACAAATTTGGCACGCACGTATCCATGTATAATATACACACAATGCATTCGTATACGATTAATTGCGTCTTTCAGTGTCCGATACCAGGACTTGGAACATCACCTTGCCTCCCATGTACATCATCATAATCAGATGATGATGATGATGATGCTCCTTCATCATAATCATCTCCTGAATAACCAGCCGTCATCGCCGGAAATCCGCCGTGAAAGTTCTCCGGTACTGATCTTATTCCTCTCCGATCAGAGATCAGGAGAAGTAGAAGCAAGAGAACACAGAGATTGTTAATCTTCCTTGCCGCCATTTTCCTCAATAAACGATCAAACTCATGTTTTTTTTTTTTTTTTTTTTTTTTGCATTTGGGTTTAATGTTGTTCATAATAATATAATATCAATATATATATATATATATAATTGTGTTGTAGTGTGTGTGTCAGTGTGTATATATATATGGATCAATATGAGGAGCAAAGAAGCAGTGCACTAACAAATAAAAGGGCCGACTTTCGTGGAATATGGCAAACAATTGTAATGATGAGTTTATTCTAACACCTACATTATTACTTTCCTCCTTTTTTAAAAAATAAAATAAAAATGTTATCTTTTTACGTAATGATATAATCCATTTAATCCCTTTTTTTCACCTATAAGAAGCCACACAATCGTATTAACATCTTCGTGTCTTTGTTGAAGCATGATATTTATCATATGAAGAAGTTTGCACGTATATATATATATACACGCACATTTATAGCGACCAACTCATAAATCCTACAAATATTTTTTTTTTGGTTGAAGATCCTAGAAATATTGAATACATCATTACAAAAAATAAAATTAAGATATCAAACAATTAAGTAAACAAATTTTATAGGTTTTATATCGATAAAATCTCTGTGTATATATATATGTGTATATATATATATAATTAAAATAATATGTTCTAGAGAGAAATAAGGAGGCCATCGAATTATATTTTAGAGTAAAATAAAGTTCAAAAAGTAAATAAGTAAAAGGTTGAATTCATCAGTTCGTTTTATATAGTTTGAGTTTTACTATAATATTAAAAATATTATTAAAAAAAGGTTATCTTATCCAAAGATTAATTGAAAAATTCAATATAAAAACGGCCAGCAATGACGTCACGTCTTAAGGGATCACGTCATAACCAAACCATGGAAATGGATACTCTCCCGTCCCGTGGGCGCCTCATGGCAACCAATAAACACCTAATGTTATCTTATCTGATTTCATCATTTTTTTTTCTCTTTTTTTTTTTGATAAAATTTCTCTTTTATTTTAAAGATAAAGTCTCTTTGCTAGATTTTGTAATTGACAGATCTTACTTACCATATGTATATATATAATATTAATATCTTTTAAAATAGCCCAATATCGTAAATTTTATGTCAATTCGTTTTGAAAATAGAAAAATCGGATAGAATCAAATCAAATCAAATCTAACTTGAAAAAAAAAAAAGAATTCGACCGACAATGATTATTCCTTTCCAAAAGTCAAATTAACCGGACCATCTCTCTTTCCCCTCTATCTATCCATACATTATCGATCTAAACCGAATCTGAAAATCGAATTCTCACCCTCACCAAACTAATGCCATGAATTCCACTAACGGATAAACATCAGAAAATTTCGAATACCCGGTTCAAAAATCAAACCGATACTCAGAAATTTTGTAACAATTTTTTGTTTCAATGTCCGTTCCATGTGATGTTGAGACTAGTGGTGATCATTTCGGATTTCGGTTCGGTTATTTCAGGTTCGGTTATTTCAGTTATATAGATTTATTCAGTTCGGTTTGGTTCGGTTTGATTCGGTTTCTGCATAATAAAATTAGAACCAAACGGTTAAATTTTTCGGTTTATTCGGTTCGGTTTTAGATCGGTTCGGTTCGGTTATGATATATTTTTTAAAAAAGAATATTAATCCTATACAAACTTCAAAATATCTATCCAAATAAATCTATAAAATAATTAATCCTCCAAAAAAGTTACAAAAAAATCTACAAATGAACTAGATTTATGGTTTATTAGGTGAAACATATAAGGTACAAATGAACTACCAAAAAAATAACACTAATAATAACAAGAGTAAAAATTAAAATATTATAAAAACTCTAATAACCGTTTGATTAACCGCGGTTATTCGGTTATTAACCGAACCGAACTGAACCCGAACGGTTATTCAACTTCCTCGACCATTCAGTTATTAAGCAAATAACTGAACTGAACAGAACCACTCTTATTCGGTTCGGTTATTCGGTTAATAACCGAAATGGTCACCCCTACATACGATCCGAGTTCAGATTCGAGCTGGACTGACCTGTCCCGTTTAATAGCTTATTTTAAAATTTATTAAAAAAAAATCGAACTTTCGGATCGATACAAACCCTGATTTAAATCAGACCTAGAAACTCGAATTTTTTTCATTTCAAAGCCCTATTTTTTAGATGGATTCGGACGAAAATTGATACCTAACTGTAAGAAGAAGTTTCTTTGCAGTATTGTTTTCTTTCTTGCACTGTAAAAAAAAACATGATGGAAGTAAAGACAATCTGGGAAAAAAAAAACAGAAAACAGTCCTTTGCAAGTTGTTCTCTCTGTTGAATCCCTACAGAAGCTGACTGTCCCATCTGGTTAGAACTCCTCAGTCAGAAACCATTGTTTGTGTTTCTTGTCTGGTGAAATAATCAGATACAGATTGCAAGGATCTCTTTCACATGGCCGACAGCCTCGAGGACGAATATCCCGATATCGATACCCGGATTTGCTGATCCGGGTCACAGGTGTCGGGCCTCGTAGATTCTTCTTCTTCTCTACAGAGACTGCATCCATTGCCAGTTTCATCATCTCTGGTCGCCATGGCAGGATCTTCTTCCAACTTACCATCACTAGGCTCATCTGATTTCAGAAGCAGACTTGTCTGAACCGATGCTGACGAGTTTCCTGAACTCGTGTGTCTGAACATATTATCGTCGGCATAGCACCTCTGACTCTGCGAAAACCCGAGTGAGGAATATTAGATTTAACGAGTCGAATAAGCCAAAACTCGGGAGTGAGTGATTAACCGGCTCACCATGTCAGGGATATAAGTGCCGGTTCCTCTCAATTCTGCCGTGTTTTGAAGGTGTATAGTCGGCGGAGAGGGCAGACGAGAAATAGTAAGAGGATAAGGCGGCTGCATTGGCGTAGATACGTTCAGACCCTTGTGATAGAACTCGTTCTTCTGACAGTTCACGTACCAACGGACTATGTTCCAAGCACTTGTGTCCTGAACCTGACAACTCGACCCGTGATACCACTGCCCGTACACAAGACTCCTGTAATAACCGTCAAAGTCTCCCTTCAGTTCCGATAATTCTGATCTCCCGGTGCCAAACGCGGTGACGGGATTGTGAACGTCCTGTCTTTGTCCCTTCCCATTCCTGTCCAAAGAATTTGCAAAGAACTTCTCGAGTCTGCTGCCCATTGTTTCGATGGGTAGCGTTAGAACGTCTCTGAGCTTTCGAGCTCCCAACGAAAAGGCGTGTCTTATGCGTTGGAAATTGCCTAAGGAAAGGTAAAAACAAAAACAAACCCTTTCCTCAAACTCAAAGGTGTCTAAAACTGAAAAAACGAAAGGCGGATTCTTGAACAAATACCTTTTGTCACACTCCGCCCGAGGTTGTTGCTGTGTTTCAAAGGATCCACGATGTTAAGATGTTTGACGGGAAAATCATGAACAGCCTTTGTCGGAAACGAATATAGTTCAGTGCATTCTCTGAAAAACTTCTCGTCGAGCAACAACTCAAACCCGTTAATTTCTGGAGGTACTGCTGCATGAAGCAAGAAAAGAAAACGTCAAAAAAGGAAAACGACGTGAAGGGAAGGAATTACAAGTTCTTTCTGATTCTGCAAATCTTTACCATTAACCTCTGGAAGAGAAGAGATTGGGACAGGACCATGGACACTGACACAGTAATTGTCCCAATCAAACGAACCATAGTAATCCAAGAACCGATACAGGACCTGTTGTAAAGAATGACGGTTAAATCTATCTTTTCGTTAATAACTTGGAAGTAGATGATGTTTCAGTTCAGATCAAGATTCAAGAATGCTCACAGCTAAAGGACCAGACAGCGAAGAATGAAACAAGTTGATGATGTACAGGACTAATACTGCCAAGGCATATGTCGAGATCAGTCCAGTGTTAGCACCAAGAACACGGCTCTCGTAATAGCACCACGCTTTGATCAAGATGATACTACGCTTGAATAGATGGTCTCTTCCGAAAAGTTGGTCGATCTGTCCAATTACGCGAAAAAGATTCAGAGATAATGATACAAATCAAGAGGCAGATTCCATGAAAGGCTTACGAAGCTATCAAGGGCGCAAAACACCGATCTTAATGTTTTTTTTATAAACCCTAGACCCCATATCCGGATAGACATTGTTTACCTGCTCCAAGAAACATAAAGCACAGAGTCCGGCCATTTGGTTGAAGGAGATGTCCACAGCTATGTTCCTGATATTACATTTTATGACCTTGACCTAATAATCAGACATGACAAAAGCCAAAAGATCACCACAAAGGCATTGGAACAAATTTTAGTTGAAGAAGTGGTCGGGAAATATCGAAGGCAGAAGGCAGAAACGTAACCTGAGCACGGATATACTGAACATCCGTTGCTTGGAAATGATCGGTTTCCTGGAAATCAGATTCCTTTTCTTCACCTTCAAGCATACTGCATAATTGATCAGCCAATTCTTCCTCCTTGTTTTGATGAATCAGGACCGTCAGATCAATATCGCCGTCGGGCAGATAGGTTTTCAGTGGCACTGAACCAAATGAAAAGACCTGTGGATACAACCAGTTTCTCAACAAGCGAAAATATGCAAAACCCGATGATCCACATTACACAAAACCAATACTTTCTGGTAGAGGACATGTGCACTAAATCGTTAAGAGCTTAAAAAAAAAGTGGCTCCACAAAAATAATCAGAAGGGGACAGCAAGAGAAGTCCATTTAGGACACATAAACAGGTTGTGTAAAAATGCAACTGATACACAACATCTCTATGGATGTATACACCTAATTCTTTAGCTCCTACAAGTCGAACATTTCGGATGGAATTCATCAAATGAAATTTCCACAAACAGGATAAGCTGAAATCATACCTTGTCATATTCAAAGGGAATGTGTATAAAATGAAATAAAACAGAGAGCGGAACATGTCGATTGATACACTGAAGTTCTAACCTCAACTCCGTGATGAGCTTTGATTATATTCCGGACATAATCGATTATTTCAGTCCTACTTCTGTCGGAAACAAGAACCGGCTGGATGGTGCATAGTATCTCCCTGGTCCTCTCCTCGGCAATCATCCAATATTCCCCTTCTATCAACAGTGATTCTGTCCGAGGTGGTTTTCTTGATGACAGCAAGGAAGATGATGATGATGACGAGGATGATGAGGAAGAGACTGACAACCTCTCTTCTTGAAGATCTCCCATGTCCAAAAAAATCTCAAACTACTTTCACATTGATAACTTGGGAATCCTCACTCACTGTGCCACTCGTGCGAGGTTGACATATCAAGACATCTACAAACCATTATACAGAGAAGAAATGGAAGCAAAGTGAAGAATTCGAGTGAACCCTTTAGCAAACCGTTTCATGGAAAACAAGAAAAACACTCCCGAGGATAAATCACTTCAACCTAAGGAATGGGAAAACAGGGTAGAAGAAGATGATTGATGCCATAAACAGAGAGAATGGGAAAAGAGAAAATGAGGCAGGTTAGTTTCACACCAAGTACAAGAAAAAGGAACAAGATTTTTTCCCCCCCATCTGATTTCTCAATTCCGTCAATGGATGGTTTAGAAATTCTCCTGCCAATGGGGCAGTGTGATTACTCCTATGTCCGGCTTGACGGTTGCCAATGAGAGTTCATAGTTTAGGTAAAGAAACAGAGCAAAACACAACACATGACCGATGTAACTGATAGTGAATGCAAAAGAACAGGCATCCCAACACTTAGGTCCTCCTCGAAACTAATACTGCTGTTTCAAGTAAAAACCCATCAAGAATTTGACTGAAACCAGATGATATTCCTCTCTGAAAAAAAACTCAAGCTTTTCACCTTACGTGTGCACAGAAATTATCTCAGAAACACTCCCTCCGCCTCGTGGATGCAGAAATGTACAATACTACGTGAAGCATCGGAAGATTACCTGTAGTTTTAGTCCATATGTCATGAGATTCTTTGGTCTAATCTCACAAAACCGAAGAAATTCCAGCTGAAACAAGCCAAAACAAAAGGAAGCCCATATGACAATAAGGAAAAAAAAATCCAACCTCTGCAACAGGACTTGGTGTTTTAATTAAACCCGCTTCATATTTTCAGAAGAATCAGCATTTTGGAAAGAAAAAAAAAACCCGAGAATTTGTTTGGATACTTAATGTTTTACGGAGGACCACGAAGGCGGCTGGGAAGAACAGAAAAAAAAAAAAGAAGAAAAAAAGAAACAAGACAAAAGGGGTTTAAAAAAAGTCAGCTTTTTCCATTGGGATCGGCAAACATCACCAGGAAAAAAAAGAAGAAAAGAAAAGAACATGGCGGGCAAAGGTCAAATGCAAGAACAAATTTAGACCAGAAACCACAAACCCTAGCGAGATTTAACGTTATCATGACAATCTCAAAGCATGTTCTGCTTCGTCGAATTCGATTGTTTCAGATAAACAGGTGTACAGTAAAAGAATTAAACCCACAAAAAATATGGCGAATGCTAACGCGATTAATCGAAGCAAAAGACAGAGAAACCATTTACCCACGAAGAGGTTCAATCGAAAGTTCAGATCTTTGTCTGAACAACGCCTGCACAAAACGTTACAGAATCATCTCTACAGACAGTAATCTCGTATGATACTGGAGAAGGAGAGACGAAGATAACTCACCGAAATTCAGGCAAAAACCATCATAGCGTACACATCATAAAAGGGAAAGAAAACAGACATACAAACAAAAACCGCAGCAATCATCAAATAAACAAAAAAGAAACCGAAAAAAAAGAAAATGGGTTTCTCTCACCGTATGAAACAAGGAAATTATGGCTATATAAATTAATAAAAAAGCATTTTATGGAAAGTTTATAAAAACCCAAATCCGCCATTTTTTGTCCTGAAATTCACTGTAACTGACCTCAAAAAAAGCTTTTAAAAGATAATTTCTTGTTTCCTTCTTCTTCTTCTTCCTATTCATCCTCGCTATTTCTCTCATTACGGGCAATTCCAATGGAAACGTTTTTGTAATAAAAAAATCAATTATATAAAAGATGTGGAAAAAAATAAACCCTAAAATTCTTCCAAACCCCAGAAACACAGAAACAGAGAGGTAACTCGTGAAGTCCATTTAATGTGGGACCCACTAATCAACGACCTGGCATATCAAACGGTTAATTCTGATTTAGGAACCATGAATCTGAATCGTACACGTGGCGAATTAGGAGATCGGACGGACTTATTTATTTCGAAGGGGGAAAATGGAGTTAGATTTTCCCGCTATGTTAGCTGTCGCACCTAAAACCCTATCCTCTTCCTTCTCTCTACCTAAACCGCAAAACCCTAAGCCTAAACCCCCAAATCCTCGAGGTTTCCGGAGTTTCAAATGGAGACACGACGCCATTTGCGTGAAATCGGAGGTGGTGACCGAGAGGGGTCTTGAATTCGAGACTCGAGAGACTTTTTTCCGCCATGAGAGCGCCACGGGCCGTGACCTCGGCGTGCTCTCGGCGACGCTATACAAGAGATCCAAAGGCGGGTTACGGGTCCTCGACGCCATGTGTGGCTGCGGAATCAGGTCGCTTCGTTATCTTGTGGAGGCGGGAGCTGATTTTGTCATGGCGAATGATGCCAACGACGCTTATCGAGGGATTATCACTGATAATCTGAGTAAGGTTGAGAGGGGTTCAGGCGACGAGAGAAGATGGGTCGTGTCTCATATGTTGGCGAACAAAGCGATGATCGATAGGTATTTGCTCGGGGATTTCTTCGATATGATAGATGTGGATTCGTTTGGGAGCGATTCGGCTTTCCTCAGAGACGCTTTCAATGCGTTGAAGTTGGATGGTTTGCTTTATCTCACCTCCACGGATGGGTACTCTTCCGGTGGTCACAGACCTTACAAGTGAGTGAAGATACACCATATTTCTTATATAGTTTTTTCTCTAATCGGCTATTAGAGTTTGTGTTTCTGGGCTGATTGCATTAGAGAAGATTCGGGTTTTGGTGGTGGGGAAATTCTCTGGATTAGCCTTAGCTCATGCTTTCCACATTGTTGTAGGAATGAGAACAATGAATCATTTCAATCATTTCGTCTTGTGTAGTTCTCTAGCAGCCTATGGGGCATTTATCCGACCAATGCCGTTTGGGAATGAGATCGGGCTGCGAATGGTAATAGGCGGAGCAGTGAGAGAGGCCTCTCTGCTCGGGTATCATGTCACACCCCTTTTCTCCTACTACTCTTATCATGGGCCCGTGTTTAGAGTCTTGCTTCGGGTTCACCGTGGGAAGCTACACGAGGACAGGTAGCCTCTTTCTTATGATCCGGCTAATTGTATTGAATTCGATATCTGGTTCTAGGTTTCTGACCTAATTGAAAACTGTGTGCTGATTTCGTGACAGGAACTATGGTTTTGTGACTTACTGTAATCGCTGCGGTGATTCGCAGACAGTAAGATGGGAACAACTTGGTCTGATCGGCTGTCCCTGCTGCGACACAAAGGCTTCTTCCTCACTCGTTGTCTCGGGTCCACTGTGGCTTGGAGCCCTTCACGACGCATCCTATGTTACGGAAATGCTGGAATTGGCAAAGGAATGGGGATGGGTGGGCAACGACGGCACTGGAAGTGACTTGGAGAAGCTTCTAAGCCTGATGATCGAGGAGAGTGACCCGAGGCTACCCCCCGGATACATTAAAATGGATGAGGTCTTCAACCGAAACCCGATTGCCAGTAGATGACAAATAGTGCTTCTTTCACTATAGAAACGTGTTAACAAATGACCGTTTTCCCTGTTGTGATCAGATGGCAAGCCGTGCAAAGATGAATTCTCCCTCGCTTAAGAAGATGATGAGCGCTCTTGCCAAGGTAAAATCTCTTGTTTTGATCTCTTGAACTCTTTCCTTTTCTGGGAGGGAAATAAGAGAGGCTACCCTAAAACTCGATTGGATTCATGGTGTTGCAGGAGGGGTACGCCACAAGCAGGTCACACATTATTCCCAATGCTATTAAAACAGATTGTCACATGGCAGATTTTGTAAGGATAGCTAAGGAGCAATTGCCAAATTGAGATTTATCTTTTCTTTGTACTAGATTAACTTAAATTACATTAAAGCAAGCTCGACAAGTTGAAAGTCTTGTCTCTGCTAACCCTTCTACTTCACAGATTAACCAATGGCTTTAAAGCCCAACACATCAAAAAACAAAACACCACAAGCTCACATAGGATCACCTTTTTTGTAAGGATAAACAAGGAGAAACTGCCAATTTGTCATACATAAATATATATATATATATATACACACAGTTGTATATAGACATAATTTTATGCTAGTTAAACTTGATGTGGCTTAAAAGAAGCATGTTAAACAAGTTGAAAGGTCATGAACTAACGGGTTAACACCAATGCATCAAGTAATACCACAAGCTCAAGTAGGGTGTCAGAGAGCACCCCTATAAAAGTTTAAAGCGGAAGGCGAAATCCATGGACAAGAAAACCATCTGGTCTGAGTCGAATAACTATAGCAAGTCTCAAAGCATTTGAACTCGAGAGATCAAAATCACAAATATAAAAGCATCCCCAAAGTAAAATTTCAGACAACGTTAAAAGAAACTAGTGAACATGGATTGGGGGAAGGAAGCAAGGTCTGTAGAATCTCAGGTGCGGGGTGCAGCTCCAGCTCCGGGGACACGGGGAGCCTGTCCTGGTTGCCCTGGCTTAGGCATGTCTTCCTGTAAAAACATTCATTATTACCATTCAGCTACTTGTGATAATCCATTACACAACAAATGACACAAAAACTCCATCCACATCTATGGCAACTAATAGGAGGTAAGCAAAGAAACCAAACATAACTAATGAATAAGAATGAGAATTGGGAAACACAAAAGCTGACTGACAAATCAAATCTGGAAAAATATGAGCAAACATGATATACATACCCACAAAGGGCATAATGCACAACCAAATCACACAAACCAGCCTGACAATAACCCCGAACAGAGTTTCCAAACATCAATGATCAAATAGAACTCAGTTTAAAACAACTTCATACGATTAAGGATTATCTTGAAAAGTTTAAGACTTCACATCTGAAGCAAGTCAAACATAGACATACATGAAGCCTAAGAGAAACCCTCTTATCTCGACAAAAATGACAAAAACAAGCAATGAAAACAAGAATTGAAGAAAAAAGCTCAAAACTTTTAGGGTTATCTAAATAAATGGATTAAGAGATTAATTACCCTGCGTCTGGCGAAACGCTGCGGTGGGGTACGAACCCTACGGTTGGTGCGGGACCTGACCCTCACGACGTGAGAGTGGATGGCGCACGAGATACAGTGCTGCAGCTTGGCGTACAGCTTCGGCAGAGCGTAGCCTAAGCACCCAAACGGACAACAGTTAAACAGCAGACACATCAACCAACCAATGCATCCAAGACAGGAAATCAAAACTACATAGAAGGTTGTCTGTCCATAAAGCTACAGATTCCACAAAGGAACTAAGAAGGGCATTATATCAATCGCGGGAAACAGAATGGAAAATCAGAGATACCATCGTAGACACTGGCTTCCTGAACATCCCTGATAGCTGCCTGCTCGACAATGTTCCTGACGATAAATCTCTTTACCGCCTTGTCCTGCCAATCGTTTTCACGGTGAAAGGGCGACAACAACATCAGATCGAACTGCCCGAGACATCACATAAACAGATCTAAAATCCAGGAAACGAATGTGAGGAGATCACCCACCTTAGGACAGGCCTTGCCGCAGTTGGAGCAGCGGATGAAATTGACATGTCCCCTGTTGTGCTTGTTCCTGCCACCGTTCCTGCGCTTGAAAGTCTACAAAAAAACCCAACCGTAGAAAAAAACATCACGTGAGAAAATTGGATTCTAGAAAGCGATCAGGATTCAGGGGGTGTACCCACCATGGTTGCCTGCCTACAGTACAGCTCCAAGCTAGGGTTTTGTGCGGCTCTTCGACTGTGAACGATGATGTGATGATAAAAGATGATTTTATAAATGCGTTCAAGGGATCTAACCTAGTGGGCCTTGGGCCTTGGGCCTTGTTGGGCTTTATGTAATCTCCCTCTCATTTTCCTTCTTATATTATATTCGGTTTTTCTACCGTGTGTAATTTGTTTTTTAATGTAAATAATTTATTTTTTCTCTGTTAAAAAAGTCATTATTTGCGGGAATGGAAGAAACCAAAACAAGAACCCTAAAATTTGATTGATCGAGAGAGAGAGAGAGAGAGTAACAATATCATCGGAGGAGCCATCGACGGACCGCTTGGTGATATCGCCCTCGAGGATCTTAAGAACGAAAGAATCTGACAACTTGAAAGCAACCTCTCCGCCGCAGGTCGCCATGGCCGGCGATCGCCGGAATTTCTCCGCCGGGGTGGAAATAACCGATGGAGAAGCGGAGAAAACCTTACAGCGGTGGAGCACGATGGCAAAAGCACAAAGTCATATTCCCCGCACTTTATAGTTGGAAATTCTCTCTCTCTCTCTCTTTTTTTTTTTAATCGAATGACACTTCTTCGAACGTCATAAAAGTGATCCTGTCTCGTTCTTCTTCCAACCTTGTCGGAACTGTGTTCGAAGGGTCAGTTTCCAAACATTACGTCAGATCAAGAATCAGTTTCTTGGCCAACAAGATTCGATTGAGATGCTCAGTTAAAAAGTCTCCTATGAACTCAACTCAAACTATTGTTTGTGGCATGTCAGTCAGCGTTTGAAATCAAGGATTAAGGTAGCAACAACAAAAAAAATAGTTGTCAGATTCAGACAAATGGGGGATCTCTAGTAAGCTTTTCTGTTGTTACAAGATTCTTGAGAGAGAGAAACAGGAGTACAGCAGAGTAGTACATGAGAAGAAAGTCAACAGTTGAAGCTCATATATTCCCTAAAGGTTCCCAAAAAAAGAACCAAACACACTGATGAGACCTGCAAAGACTCTGTTAAAGGCTTAAAGCTACATCATAGCCCCTGGAAAAACCAAACGACGACTTCTCTGTTCACAGAGAGAGAGAGAGAGAGAGAGAGAGAGAGATTTTCTTCTTCTTCTCCTCCTTCGCTGGCTTCCCAACAGGAACGTGTTTCGAAATGAATCAGGGCTTGGGAAGTCAGATAAGTGGACACCTGTGGTCTCTAACTCAGAAGTTGAAAAAAAAAACAGTTTACATAAAAGGATCAGACATCATCAGGAGATTACCTTCAGCTAAGAATTTAAGTGGGGGGAAAGATTAATTTATCGACAAATGGATATGGAGGGGAGGGGGGGGGGCTTTTCAGGACGAGTTGATCAGTTTATCGTGCTGCTGCTTTCACTGACTGAATCGGATCTCCCGAAGCCCGAGCCTCTGCCGCAGCTGCTGATGTCAAGGCCCTGTAACCGGCCAAGAGGATCTTGCTGCATCGCATCCGAAAATGAATTTGAATGCGGTGATTGGCCTGAAGCAGTAACGAGTGCCGGATGATGAGCAGATGGAGAAGTCGTGTTGTTGGGCTGGAAGACGTAAAATTGAGGAGCCATTTGCAAGTTTTGCGGTGGTTGAGGGTATTGCACGCAGCTCCGTGCCATTCCGAGGTTATACGCGTCGGCATGCGACATTTCTCCCGTGGCAAATTTCAGCCTGTCGACTTCCTTCTTCAACGCCTCGTTCAGTGCTGCATGGAGATATTCGTCATCGATATTACGGCATATGAAATTCGAAGAACATGCTTTTCCAAACCAGAAATCATGTCAAAGTAAGTATATGTTCATGCATATACGTAGATAAACCTTTCGGCATGAGTATACAAGGTCCTAATACACATAGAGGCGTGAACAATCAAGATCTTGTCAGAGACGAGACTTGTATAAGGTAAAAGGTTTCAACATACCATCTCTCAGCTTAGCTTGCTGTTCCATTGCCTGTAACCGAAGCTTGAGCTCTGTATTCTCAGAAGACAAACCATTCGTGTCTCTCTAAAAGACGAAATAAAACAGGAGAAAAGACGGTCAGTGATACAGCAGCAACACATGTATATATATATATATATATACGTATATGTATGTATACATTATGTATGATAAGAACCTGGAACAAAGAGAGTTGAGCTGAAAGAGTAGTAGCTTCGGTTTGGAGGGTATGGACTTTTCTCTCGAGCTCCAAGATATAACGAGCCTTCCTCTCCTTCGAACGAGCAGCAGACTGCCGATTTGCAATGATTCTACATGTATTTGCAAGATGATCGGGCCATCAGCTAATACTGCACATTTAAATATTCCGATTTCGAATTCAAGAGTTTAGGGAAAACATATTAGCAAATCTCTTGTGCTGGACCTTATCAGGCACCGGGAAATGATAAGTTTGGCTATGAGATATCATACAACTAACTAGGATGACTTTATCAGATAAATGCAAGTTTGATTCTGACAAGACATGATCAGATGATTGCCAACCAAACTAAAATCGAGTAACGACAACCTTCAATCTACCAATCAAACATAGAGCTGGTCAAGAAATCGTTGGGGGCCATTAGAGTTTTCCGTATGAAAGAGACATTCCACGAATTCAAACAGAGATTAAGCAGAAGGCACGTATGGGGCCCTCATGGTATTTGCCTCTAACTTTATTTCTTCAAAATTTGGCCGAGGATCCAAGATCAAGAATCAAACCAAATGAAAGTGATACGTAATCAAGAAGATAGATCTCAAGAACATGAACATCCAAACCAGAAATGTCCATTTACACCAATCAAAAGGTCATAAAGCAACCACCTTTCTGCTCAAATCATGACAATTTCACACGAACTGTAATAAAAAACAGGAGCCACCATTCTCACTAGATAACAGGAATCGGATTTCATCAGATCGCATCAAATCGGCAGGGAAAGGGGAAAAAAACCTTTTAGCCCTTTTCGGGTCGACGACCCAGAGCTCGGCCAGCTTGTCAGGAGCCATGGCTTTCTTGGCTTCGATCGATTCCGATGTCGAAGACCCATCGACGGAGAGGCTGTGCCTGTGCTTAGGCTTCGAATCCCTTGCCTCGCCGCCATTTTCCGCCGGAACCGGGTTATCGGGTCTCGGAGCGGAAGGTCCGGCCGAATCGGATGCGGATCCGGATCCGAGCTTCTCAATGTCCATGTACGAGCAGAAGAGGTCGTCCTCGGATCCAAGGTCGTCGAATCCGCCGAATGGTTCCGAAAGATCCAGGTCCGCCGGTAGCCGGAATTGCACTTCCGAGTGCGCGCGCCGGTGGTACGGACCACGGAACGGCGTCGGAGCCGGCGCCTGAGCAGCAGCAGCTGGGTTGGCCGACGGCGGAACCGGGCATTGCGGACGGTAGTGATTGCTCGGGTTAGGTTTTGAAGGATCCTCCATGCCCGATTCGTCGCTTTCTCTGTCGGAATCGGACAGAGACAGATTCAGATGTCACGATCACGTTGCCGCGCTCTCTGTCCGAAGGGCGACGAGAAGACACGAGAACAGGAACTAAAACGCCATCGTTTCATGCGGCCTAATTTCTGTGGTTTATTTGTTATTTATCTGTTAATTTATTATTGAAAAATCCCGTTTAAAACTAGGGTAATCCCGTTTACAACTAGGTGGAAGATCGACTCGGTTCCGTTTAATCGAAATTGGTTGATTTAGATTCGATTATTTTGATTTTGAAATATTCATATATAACGAATATATTATTTTAATCGGTTCGTTTTAGATTTATCTAAATAAAAAATCGATAAAAGTCAATCAATTTTCATATAAAAATAACAAAAACGATCCACAGTATATTTATTATAAATCAATGATTAAATTAAAATATATATACCTCATTTTTTGTTATATTTATAAAATAATATCATTAACTAATTTTTTTAATTAAATTTAAAATATATTATATATTAATTGATGGTATATAGGTAAATAAACAGTTACATTCGATTACGGTTAATTCAGATTCGGTTTATTCAGTTTACGATTAATTTGAGTTCGGTTAATTCGGATTTGAATATTTCGGATTTGAAATATTAATCGGTTCGATTCGGATATATATCGATCGGTTTTGTTCGGTTATTTTGGATTCGGTTATTTTGTCCATCTTATTTAAAATTGATTAAAAAAATATATTTGATAAATTTTTAACATAAGTATACAAAATTATACAAATTCAGCAATTGGTGACGTTATCGTCGTATTTCCACGATCACCTAAAAAATGTTATGGCATGAAGAGTAGTTACGTCAACAATTTTTAAAAAGAAAAATCTATATATTCTCATATATATATACTAACCACACTTAGATCTACTGTCTACATATTAATACACACACACACACACTTATATGCATATTTATAGATATAGTATACACAATACTTATTTTACATATATACATACATGACATATACATATATATACACACGTTGATACACATCATATATATATATATATAATAAGCATCTATAACATTAATATATGTTATTTTATATTATGGAAAATCTCAACTGCTATGCTATCGATTGGGTAATATACGTGAAACATGAATCGACCGTAATAAACGATAAGTTTAATCTCGTTTGAACTTATTCCTTATTAAAAGAATTTCCTCAAGGTGAATATATGTATATATGTAACTATATGTATTTTTTTTTTATTACTGATGTGCGTTCCTTGACGAGGCACCATAGATGAAAGTCCCGAACGCGGGCGTCCATCACTGGAATTTATTTACGTTGCATATTTTTACAAATTTGGTATATATATATATATTTTTTTATATCACATTTTTTCCTTTACTATAATAATATTATGGGTAAAACTAGGGGCGAACATTCACTTCGCTTTCTCGAAATCAAACCGTATCGAATAAAAAATCTCGTTATTTTTTTCAAATTGTATCATTCAAAATTTCCGAACGATATATTTTTTATATAACCAAACTGAACCGAATTGAACTTTATAAAAATTTTGAAAAACCAAATTTTTTTTAAGAAAATCTAATTTTTTTAACAAAAACTGAAATCAAACTGTACCGAATAATATACCGTACTAATTTGTTATAAATTTTAAAAAACTAAATAAATCATTTTCGAATCAAATTCCTAAAATTTCAAAATCGGAAACCCGGTACAGCCCCATGTGTTTTTGGTGGTCATAAAACAAGTTTTTTGGTAGTCGCGTAGGGTGAGCCGGTCGACTCATCTCGGTGGAGGCCCAACGCCAAAACTTTTAAAACTGAAGCACACAGAACGTAAAAGGCCCAACCCACAAGCGCAAAATATACATTAAAGGAAATTACAGCGTGGAAAATTACACGATGCACTTTTACGCTGACGTGGAGCATCACGTGGCCGGTGCCATTAATGGACCATACAGACGCGTGCTCACCCAAGCCACGCACGCAGCCGAACCGCGTCGTCACGTGGTTGCCCTATCACTCATCCCTAGCCGTTAGATTAAGATCGAACAGTTGAGATCAAGTATGGTTCCTTGGTCTGTGGTGTGCAGCGATATAGATGATTATTACCGTGCTGAGACTTGCGAGGAAACGTGATGTGTAAGTTCATCTTATTTCAAACGGATTAGATAGCGCTTAATCTCAACCGTCAGATTCGCAGTTGACAACTTCGTGTGCTGAGAGAGATTCAATTAAGGCCACGTCGCTACGTATATAATAAAATAGCAACCAGAACAGAAAACAGCCGAAGATTCGAATATATATGTACAGGAATTTGTTCCTTTTTTCCGGCGATCTTTTCCTGTCTCCGATCTCAATGCATTGCCATTCGGCAGGCGATATGGCGGCATCTGCGAGGATTTGTTGCGGTGGCGTAGGCGGAGGAGGAATCGTCCGCGATCGGCGGACTGTGATCGTTCGATCTCCGCCTATTGTTCCGATCTACGGTCGCCGGAGTCGTCGGTTGATCGAGATGAGAAAGATCCGGATGTCAAAGGCGGATATGGTGCCGTCTGCGGTGGTGAATTTGGAAGGGAAAAGGATCGGCGGAGGAGGAAGAAACGGGGGAGCCGTCGTGTCGAGGGAGAAGCTCGACGAGTGGATGAGAGATTCGGTGGTTGAGATCGTGAAGAATCTAAGGGAAACTCCACTGTTGCTCAAAGTTTACGCCGGAGGGAACGGATCTCTGACCTCCACGGAGGCGACGACTGCGGCGGAGAAGGCGGATGATTGGCCGGCGGTGAAGGGAAGATGGGAGAGGGGGGAAGAACGAACGCCGGAGGGCGTTATATTCGTTGAGAAGCTCGGAAACGGTGACGTCACGGATCGGCATTCAACGGAGGGGAGCGGCACTGGGGATGACGTCAGAGACGGAGGCGCGCGCGAAGAAGGAACGAGCGCGTGGGGGATAGTAGCGCAAGGGAGGGGAATGGAATGTGGACCGGTTTGCTACCTATTGAAGACGACCCGAGTAGGGTCCGGTTTAGGGCCGGTTTGCACGCACTTCTGTTTGGTTAAGGTGAAAAGCTTTAGGGAAACGGCCACGTGGCAGCTGAGGAATAGCTGGTTGGTGCAAACAGGTCAATGAAAAGAGAACGTACAGAGAGGTTATTAATTCCATAAACAAATTCTGTACATTGGAACCGAAATATTCATACCACATTCAATATGTTCTCCATTCTCATCATTATCGGATTTGAATGTCCAAAACCTTTTAAAATTCGAAAGAGATCAAGAGAACCTTTGATGACAGAATGATCTATGTCAAGATTCTCCACTATAATAAACATTTTTATTATTATTAGTAGTGAATTTATGAACGCTTCACTAATTACATTTCGAATCCCAACCAAATAATTTTATAAAATCGAATCTGAAATAGAAAAATTACTAAAAGGCTATATTTTTTAAATAAAATAACCATATACATACAGTTATTAATTTTCAAATTTATCGACGAAAATTTATCAACTTCTATTTAAAATTTTAAATTTTAGAGACTTCAACAAAAAATATACACTAAACTTTACAACAACTCTAAACAAATAGACTTTAGAAAGACTTTTAAAAAATTACACATCAAACAAGAAACCATCTTAAATAAGGTATATTTTTTTTTAGAAATTTTAGTAGTAAACTTTATGATTTAAAATGAAGAAAAGTTCGTATATTTTTCCATTTGAAAATATTAAAAATCGTCTAATAATATAGAAGTTATAACAAATATATACATATATAGTTATACAAAAGATTTTCTCATTTTTTAATATAAATACTTATATTAATAAAAATCAAACTAAATAAAAATTAAAAAAAAAAATACAAATACAAAAAAATAACCAAACGCGATCGCCGAACTAATACGAAGAAAGCCTGGTCATTGGGTTGTGTGAGTGTGGACGGCGAAAAGGGCGAGGAGGCTCCCTTTATAACAAAGCCTTCAGCATTTGAATTCTCAAGACATCGTCTTTTCTCTCACCGATTATACCCAACTCCGGCATTCTCACTTACCTCAATCTCTAACCCCTTCGGCCTTCAACATCTTCTCGTCTCCTCTCTGTTCAATCTTTACTGTCGGGATTGGGATCTGTTCCTGATGTCCTTGCTGCCCATCTAATGAAATCTGCTGTTTTCAATTCCCTATCTTGGATTTAGTAAATCTTTGCGCGTAACTCGAGGGTTCTTGGATTAGTGACGAGATGGAGGAAGGGAGAGGACTTTTCAATGGGTCTCCTTCCGAACAGGCGATTGGTTCAAAAGTGCGCTCTTTGGGCCTCTCTGATGACTTTCCGTGAAAAAATCTGTACACCATGTTTTTTTCTTTGTTTTCTTTCTTGTTTGTGATGATTGTTTAAATGGGTTTCTGGGTTTCGTAATTTACAGTCTCTGGGCGAGAAGCGGAACGGCAATGGATCCGGAGAGGGAGACGAATTTGGGTCTAAACGTGCGAAAGTGCGAGATCTGGTTCCTGGTCTCGCCGTTCCAGACGGTAATTTCTTCGGTCGATGCTGAAGAATGTCATTTGGATGGATTTCGTTTTTCTTGTCTAACTTCAAGATATGAAAGAAATTGGAAGTCGAAGCTGTGTCTATTTATCCTATTCATATACGCGTGTCTTAGAATTATATGTTAAATTTGCTTGCTTTAATCTTTATGCTGCAGAAGCGGCAACTTCCGATCTGAAATCTCAATCTGTTGGAAACATTGAGATTGCTAGGCAATCAAATCTAAGTGGAGAAGAGAAATCTGGTGTCACTGAGATTCATGTGGTTCCTGATGCAGAAGCTTCGGATAGGGTAGAGAAAGAGGATGAAGATAATACCAACTATGTCAGTAGGAGGGAACTGAATATAGATATCAAGGTTGGTGACATTTCCGGCTTAGATAAACATAATTTATCACGATTTCTGAAGAACAGTAGTCACTTGAAGTCTAGGGAGATCTCTGTTGTGTCTGAAGCTTCAGACAGGGCAGTAGAGGAGTCTGGTCCACTGCAGGGATGGATGGAGATGAAACAGAACAGCTTGCTTCAATATCATATCAGTGAAAAAGCAGGTTCCTTGCGACTGGGTAATTTAGATAGTACTTTGGGGGAGTCTGATTCTATGCGGCGGTGGAAGGAAATGAAACGAAACGGTTTCCTCTCTGGCCCTCTTGGTGGAGCAGCGGTGTCGAGTTCTGTTGTATCGAGTTCTCCTGGAGATCGGCCTGTTCAAAAACAGCAGAAGAGCAAGCGTAAAGGCGAGTGTCTGAAGAAGAGAAAGGAGCTCCCCGAGCGGGAACAGGCGGATAGGTTCTCAAATACTGCTGCCCCAATTGGGTTACTGAAGGAATTGAACCCAGGGATCATTAACCGTGTCAGAAATAAGAAACAGGTCTGTTCAATCATTAAAACACTGGTTAGAATCGGTACTGAAGATGTTGTCGGGGAAGAATGCCATGTTGATTCGAACTCGAGGGGTATTTCCCATTTTTCCTGTGATAATGCCTCGTTAGCCGATCCAGACCCGAGAAGAGAGCATTTGCAGTCAGCATGTGATCGTCCTGCTACGGTTTTAGAGGGGATGATTGACCCAAGAATGCCAGAGTCAGTTGGAGAAGACGGGAAAGTACCCTTCAAGTTGCCATCAACCGAGAATGCCGATTCTGTTGCCAATTTGCATTCCTCCAACTGCACAAATCCTACACCCCTTATCCTTGAAGGTCAGTGTTTCCTTTTAAGAAATTGCTTTTATATCATATTTCATGTTTCAGATTGTAACTTCTAAACTTTTTCACCAATCTTATGCCCACGTTTGAAGTAGAATGCCTAAGTTCTACAACAGATTTTGCTTCAGTACTAATATGTAAGCTCCGTCCTCACTGTCCAAGAAGTTGCAAGATTGCCTGTCGTATAAGATATCTCTGTTTTAGTGCATGAATGGCTAATTGATATGCAGAAATGGGAAGGGAAAGAAATCCTTAAAAAGGGAAAATGTTTCTTTGGTTTTTAGCTGCAACCGTTGCATCCCAGTGGTTGGAATTACTTCATCAGGACATCACCGGGCGTCTTTCAGGTACTCTAACATGTATCCGAACTCTGAGACACTACAGAAGCTTCTTAGATTGGTTCGGTTTAATGATCTGAAAGTCATTATTGTTCTTGCAGCTCTGGAACACAGTAGGAATAGAGTTCAGAGCATTTTAACAACCGAGTTACCCCTTCTTGCTTCGAGAGAGTTTCCAACTAACCAAGAAAACACTCCTCAGGGTAACGATAAAACAATGATGGAGCATCAGAAGAGATGGATTGCGCTGTTTGATCAGATGGATAACGCTCTTTCTGATGAAAAACGAAATTTGGTGCGTATTCATTCCGATGCCTTCTTCACAGAAACTCAAAGGCAGTGTTTTTTTTATATAAATATAAATTCTTTTGCTTTCTGTATTCAATTTTCAGGACTGTTGGTTAAACAAAGTAAAAGAAATGCAGTCACATTGCAATGAAGGTCTGCGGTATATGGACATGGTCTCAACTGTCAGTTCCCAATCATCAGGAGTATCCGACACTGACTCCAGGTAAGCATACCAACTTGTCAAACTTGGCATCACATCCCTTCTTGTCCATTCTATTCAAGTTTCCAGACATTTATTTACATATCCATTTTATGTAAAAATAAAAAGGCATTGAAAACGATTACAAATTTAGTTTAAGCTATGCAACTTACACAATGTGAGATTAGTTAGCATTTGGTGAATCGTATCGGAATATTTTTTTTCTGCAGTATGGAGACAAGTATGGCTGTTCAGGCAGCTGCAGCTTCTATCTACTCAACCTGCAGTTTTTTGCTGTCAATGATGAACTCATCCTGTTCTTGATCTTGCTCTCTTTGCTGTCCCATTTGAATAACTTATGGTCAGTGTTTTCTTTCTTTTTGTAAACAAAAACCGGTTGGTGGATATGTAACATGAAGACATCTTATATAAAGTGTATTCTGTTCTCAACCAAGTTTGAAGCACCATAGTTAACATTAAACGACACATTTTGATATGACTTACAAGCTGTCTTCTTCCATCTTGTACAAAAAGGAAAACACCATACCACACATCCTTAAACATACATAAAGGAACTATTTTTGTGTTAATATCGCAACCTATACCACACCTCCATAAGTGCAGTATCCACTTTTGCCGTTTGAGTCCAGAGCAAAGAGTGGATCAAGTCAGAGACAGTGTGAAGTGTATGTTGCAGCAAAAGGTATATGCTTTTCGGGTTATGACTGGCATTGAACTCAGGGTTACAGGGCTAAAGCCAAGCCGGTGCCATTTCAGCCACCGTTACCTTAGCAAACGGATCATCTGAGACCTTGGCTAGTGAGCAATGTTGCAGCTTGATAGACTCTGCATTGTCCAATGTCTTTACTACATACCTGAAATGCATTTCCATTTGGGAAAACGGTTAGTATCCTTTGTTGTGTGTGTATGTGTGTGGATAGACAACATAGTACATTATTACATAGTTGTTAGTATTTAAGTTCAAGTCCACGGTCAGATTTGCACTAACTTATCCACCAATCGGAGCAGAACTTATCCATCTCAATCAACATGCAAACACTTGACAAACAACTGAATCACCTATCTAATATAACAAAATGGAGATCTAAGAGAAGCGGCTAACCATCCATTTAAGCAGTGTGTCATTATAACAGCCTTGCGACCGACAAACCGTGGTGGCGTCCTTTTGTTCCCCTGCCCCACAGGAACTTTGCTTGTTAAGCATATAAATCCAAATCAAGGTTGTGCAAGAACACTCAGCAATGAAAATTTCAGACCTTTATGATAACCCGATCCCCAATGGAGTAAGGGAACTGTATGCCTCTACTCTTTGGGGTTTCCACCATGGATGGAAGACAGAAAATTCTCTTGTCCTACAGATCAGAAGAAGGAAAACACTGTTTAATCTGGATTTCCCTCGAACTTGTAATCATACAAGGCGGATAAATAAAGAGACGAACCTGATCAGACCTTTCTTTCCTCCGCTTCGGGAAATGGCTATGGTCCACCTCTTCTTCTTGACGGAACGCATGAACTACCACTCTGAGAGCTGAACAAAACCATCCCAACATGTGTAGTGAGCACTTGTTGACGGTTTGATTCTAAGGTTTAAAGTAGCAGTAAACGTTATTACTCACACAGATTTGGCTTTATGGACTCTTCTGAAACTGGCTGAGAACACGTGCAGCAAGCCTTCTGGAAAATATTTGTTGAAACTTGGACATTAAGATTCATATAGGAATGCTTGGGATAAAACAAATAAGGTCTTTCAAGATTTTGGCTGCGATTTACCGTTCTTTTAACTTTTTCTATGCCTCCACCACCAAAAGAATGTCCACAAGGCAATATCATGGCATCATCCATTAGGGCTCCGCTATCAAAAGGAAGAAAACCTAAGATTTAGTAAATCATCTCTGTGAACGTTGAGACCAATCTACTCTTAACCTACGTATACGTATACCGAGATGAACTTCTATTGAAAACCTGTCATAAAACAGTAAAAAGGAAGGACTTTTTGGCATAACGGGTTACTGATCATTTGCCTCTAGGATCAGACGCAACAATTACCACATTCATCACTCTGGCATGAACATCACGAGACTTGAGACACTAGACAGAGTAGCATCATCAACAAAACTCAACTCAGATTCCAATAAAGATTGAGACAACGACCGGAGACTTACGTGACAGGATCAGAGAGAATGGTCCTAAGAGACTCGCAAGAGCCAACATTTGTGGAGGCTTTGTCCTTCTGCACAAACGCAAACTCCCTCGTTGCCTGCGTGTTATACTGTGATTGGTATACATTACCATGCGGATCGGCGATCGTCACCTTGTTATTTACTTCACCGAGATCAAATGATGATTTTCCGGCCTCATCTACTCTCAAAACCAGTTCCCTACCGAGAGAACCTAAGAATGACCCATGTCAGCAGAATCCGACAGGGTTCTAAAAGAATTCAGAGAGCTCCAAAATTCGTGGAGTTTGAACTCGAAAGACAGCAGAAAACACACAACTTTTCATTGATTTCTCACCATGTTTGTCAGTTCCCGCGTCAGCTGCAGAACTACAATTATCGCCGGGTTCGATTAGGGCGGCGCGTTTTCGGACCTCAGCATCGTCGTTGACCATGTCGTCTCCATCAGAACCCCTGGTCTCAACGTGATCGGTTCTCACGTCGCAGAAGCTGCGGCGGAGTTCGAACCGGCGGTCGCCGCCGAAGAAGGAGGCGAGTTCCCGGCTCTTGGGACCCGGTTCGCCGACGCGGAACCGCAACGGGTCATCTTCCTCGTGGAAGATGAGGCGAGAGTCGATGCCGTCGTTGACGGACATTGGTTTTGCCGGAGATCGCCGATGGAGGAGGGGGAGAGAGAGGGCGGGGGGTGGAGGAATAAAACGACGTCGTGGGAAACGAGAGTTTGAGGAGCACGCGCGTCGTGATGGAAAATGATGAGTTGGCGTGTGGACAGTATCATTACGTTTGCTGGATTTTTTTCAGGTGGGTCCCCAAATTCCATGTGCGCTCATTACACGGTGTGCCACGTAAGACGTAACATGGGACCCATAGATGACGTGGATGTAGATTCCTTAGTAGTGGGCTGTATTTGGGCCGTGGGCTGTATTTGATACTCATCAGGCCTCGATTCCGATCCAATTTCTTATGGTTTTATTTTGTAAATCTCATCCGCTCTCTGATATAAGAGGTTATTTATTTTTGAGGTACATGTTTCCTTTAATTAATACAAATACCTTATAACAAAAAAAAGAAGAAAAAGAAATGACAGAAAATGAATTTAAAGGTCAGTAAAAGAAAAGCATAATCGTTAATATAACTATTTGGGCCACAAAAAGGTTACAGTGAGGATAGAGGTTGAAAAGTTCAACGAGAAAGGAAATTACCAAATTGGTGGCACAGACACAGAGGCCGAAATCAGTTTGACAGCATCAAATTACAAATTACAGGTAAAGGCCTTAACCAAATCACGGTTAATCCCTTAAATGGGAGGATGAAGCCACTTAACCGGGTCCGGTTAAGGCCCAATGTTTTTCCGGGCCCATATTGATCTTGGCCCGAAATTTGTCTGCATTGTTCTTCTTCTTCGGATAGCAAACGAAAGAAAAAAAAAATTGGATACTCTCTCTTTTGATTGGTTCATTTTGGGTGTTCGAAGGAGCTGCGAAAATGGCGGTTTTGGTAAAACCGGTTTCATTGGAGCTGCACTTCTGGGTGAAGCATCCGACGGTGCTGAAACCCAAACCTCTAGTCGTTCACTGTGTTTCCTCTCCGAATGCCCCGGAAGCTGATTCGGTGCCAGTCACTGACCCATCTGATCCTAAGAGCCGCGACCGGCGAAGAGTGGTTCGCATCGCGTGGGAGAAGCTGGTTCGCTGGTCGCGCTCATGGCGTGCCAAAGCCAAAACCGACGTTCTCGAGCGCACTCGCAAGGTTATCCTCTTACCATTTTTTTAGCGTTTCTTTCCGTTTTCGTGTTCTGTCTCGCGTGTTTGAAGGTTTCTGGGGTGTTTCTCGAAATTGGGTTTTAGGTCGTTGTTCTTGGGGGAGGTTCATTTGGTACGGCAATGGCTGCCCATGTCGCAAGGAGGAAGGAAGGACTGGAAGTCAGCATGCTCGTTCGTGACCCTATTGTTTGTCAGTCTATCAACGAGGATCATCGAAACTGGTAGCTTTTGAGCAAAATGCCATTTTTGCTGTTTAGCCCTTATGCTTGATCATTTCGTAGATATGATTTCCTTTAATGGAATTTGCTCTGTTTATAGTAAGTACTTCCCTGAGCATAAGCTGCCGGAGAATGTGGTTGCAACCTCTGATGCCAAATCGGCATTGCTTGGCGCTGATTATTGCCTCCATGCCGTTCCAGTGCAGGTTGAGACCATTGGGTGTTGTATCTTGTCTGAGTTCATTGCTGTTATGTTGTTGAATTCTCAATTGAGTTTATTGTCTGAACACGTGCTTTTCGTCTGTTATTGGTGATTTGGGGAGCAAATTGCTTCAATTTTCTTCTGTGCAGTTCAGCTCGTCGTTTCTGGAGGGAATTTCAGATTACATTGATCCGGGGCTGCCTTTTATATCGCTTAGCAAAGGGTTGGAGCTGAATACTCTAAGGATGATGTCTCAGATAATTCCCAATGCACTAAAGAACCCTCGACAACCTTTTGTTGCACTTTCAGGACCTTCTTTCGCTCTGGAATTGATGAACGAGTTACCCACCGGTTTGATTCGCGACCTTGGTTTTGCTTTGCTATCCTGAAATTCAGAGAGTGTCGCAGTTTGTGATTTGGATGGTAAATATTTCCTGAACTATTTCATTTTGGTGTTGCAGCCATGGTGGTGGCGTCAAAAGATAAGAAATTGGCCAATGCTGTTCAGCAGCTTCTAGCTTCTAGTTACTTAAGAATAAACACATCAAGGTACAAACTTTCAGAGCCCATCGCACTGATTTCAAAAACCTTTGCTTGTGGAGTATTGTTTGATGTTTTCTGAAATACCATATACCCAGTTTCTAGTTGCTTTAAAAACCTCTCTTGTGTATTGCTGTCTCAGTAGCATGTGCTCAGCTTGTAACCTCTGATAACTCACAGTGATGTTACAGGGGTGGAAATTGCTGGTGCCCTGAAGAATGTGCTAGCAATAGCTGCAGGCATTGTTGAAGGGATGAAACTCGGTAACAACTCTATGGCCGCTCTTGTTTCACAAGGTTGTTCCGAGATAAGATGGCTTGCCACCAAGGTAGCTGAATCACGTATATCTATAATGTCAATAACGGGTTCTTCCAAACACTGCGCCACTATTCTAAAATGTCGAAACTTTTTTCCCCATGTCCCTCATTCTGTCAAACGGGAAATCAGTCGCTCAACTTTTTATGTTACAATTGCTAGGTATGATGATCTTTTTTGTCTGCGTTGGCAGATGGGTGCAAAGCCAACAACCATAACCGGTTTATCAGGAACTGGAGACATAATGCTAACGTGTTTCGTGAATCTCTCAAGGAACAGAACTGTTGGTGTCCGGCTAGGATCAGGGGAGAAGCTCGAAGACATACTAGGATCAATGAATCAGGTCCGTTGCATGGGCATAGCCCCTGTCCCTTGAGTCACTTGCATGTGACGAAACCGAACTAGTGGAATCAGAAAATGATATAAATCAAAAGCTAAAACCGAGCAGGTGGCAGAGGGTGTATCAACAGCCGGGGCAGTCATAGCGTTGGCACAGAAGTACAATGTCAAGTTGCCGGTTCTGACAGCAGTTGCTCGGATAATAGATAGTGAACTGACCCCTAATAAAGCTGTTCTTGAACTTATGGGTCTTCCTCAGGTCAGATTCATTCGTACTTCTCTGTTTTTTTCCTGTCTTGCAAATCGGATTCCACTTCAAATTTGTTTTTTTTCTGGTTTTTATTTTGCAGATTGAAGAAGTATGAGATGAAGCTAACTCTTTCTCAAGATTGCAGAGGTAGTTTTGTGGCAGAGCTCAAGCATGTCCCAAGAACTCGGGAACTCTGTCAGTGTCTCCATCTTTGTTTGGAATGGAAAACTTCATAATTCTTTTAGATTTTACCAAATGATTCAATTAGATTTCATGATGATTGTCAAAAGAATGATAATGACGTCTTCTACAATTTCACACACACGCTGTACCTGACCGGTCTACCCTCCTTCGGAAATAATTAAATCTCTATATATACGTAAATATTTCTTATAAGGAATTCGGTTTTGCCTTTTAGGTTTTTCAAGGAGCACAATCTGCATCATGGAAAATATTGTTATGTATTAAAACTGTTTATGAAATTTCAATGATAAAGATTTCAATGCTGGGTTTTGTTTTAATTATCCTATAGATCTCATGTATACATTTTGCTTTCCAGTTGCACATAAGAAATATATTAAAAAAACTCTTTTGATGTGAAAAAAGAATGGTATTACAAATCAAATAATGCGTCCGGATGTGATCTTCATATCCTTCCTGGTTCGTCCTGTGCTTATATGAAATGAGTCAATCACCTGCAGATTGTAAAAAAAAAAAAAAAAAAAAATTTACATAATGTCAAGTTCTGTTTCTTCCTATAGCCCTTCCTTCTTGTCTTTGACTCACATCCCGGATGAGGTTCGGTTTATGCGTTGAGCACCCAATTTAGAAGCAGCAGGTTTGACCCCTCCTCCTCTGCCACGACCAGACATTAAAGGTTTTGCTCTGGTGGTCGGTAATGGAGCAGCAATGGCGGCCCATGGATCATCATCATCGTCTTTGCCTTGTCCTGCCGCCTTTTTCGCGTTCAATGCTCTTGAAGTAGTAGTCCCCGGCATTGGAGCAGCTATCGATCCCCATAAATCGTCATCATCCTCGGCTCTGGCCGCCTTCATGGTGGTAATATTCTTTGGCCGTGAACTCGTAGCTGTGAAAAGGAGAATTTATCACATCATTATGATCAAACCCAGAAGCAAATGCACTTATTAAAAGGATGTGATCCGGAGAATTTGTACCCGGAAGAGGCCTTGAAGACTGAGAAGCAGGTTGTGAAGAGACGGTTCGTTTCTTCTGAGCTGCCTGAATGTTTGCAAGAGCAGGGGAAGGTTTCGGTTCTTCGAGAGGTTCGAGGTCGTCCCATCCTTCTTTCTCGCTGTCATGATGATTTTCTTCGATCCCGTTCTCTATGTCTCCCCAACCATCTGTTGAGGTCGGGGACGGGGGAGCAGGTTGATCTGTGGAGTCTGAGTTGGAACGTGCATGATTCGGTTTTAAACTCGGCATCTCCATTGCTGGGAAGATTTTCCATCATGAAACGATGTAAGAACACCAAGATTATGAGGCAGACAATACAGAGAGAAGAGACTAGAAATATGTATGCTTTACAGCATGTATCAACCTTTCTATGGAATTTGAGATGAAACTACACTACCCTTTCATATAAATACGACAAGTACGTCAAATAGTAGGAAGCTTACGTGTGCTTGCATCTGAGGCCATAGAAGTAAGGGATGGGACCGAAGCAGAAGCAGCAAGTGGTGCTTGTTCTGAGGGCTTACCCTTTAAAGTCAAAGAACTCATAGCCCATCTATGGGAAAAAAAAAAGATAAATTCATCCACCTAGTGTCGTATTTTGTGGCAAAAACTGTCCAAAAATAGCTCATTTAGAGAAAGCTAATAAACGATGCTCACCCAATAAGACCAGCATTTCCAGGAACTGATGTGGTTACTGCAGATGCTGTTGTGTGTCCAGTAGCATTTGTCTATGCAACACCGAATAGCAATCGTATCAGCAAAAAAAGGGTAAAATGCGAGGAACAAAGAACTCGAAAAGTAAAACAGTCTAAAAACATGGAAAAAAAATAAGGAGAGAGTATCAAATCTTGAGATCTAGTAGGCATAAAATTTGAATCTTGGACTACCATATCCAGGACGCAGGTTGAGATACCCAGCTATCAAAATTCAACCCAATAAAAAGCCCCCGGGAATTTGATAGATTTTATGTATACCTTTTCATAGTTCTGCTTCAGTATCTGTAGAAATTGTTCTACAGCCTGAAATGCCTTTGATCGAACCTCGCTGTTACAAAAAAAAATTGAAAAGATAAAATGCTGAAAAATCTAAGGAGCAAAAAAACTGAAAAAAAGAAAAGAAAAGGCATGCAACAAAAAAAGGAACCTGTCTTGATCAATGGTTAGCACAATAACGTTTGGAAGAACCCTAGTTGCAATTTCAGTATCATCATAATAGGAACTCGTGGCACATAATGCAACAATCCCTGCATTAAGTAAAAATCAGCGAGATATATATATATATAAGATGATACTTGGAAACATGATGCATTGGAATATCCTGAACCAAACAGAGAAGAACTGAATTTAAGAGAATCTAAATCATCTGACAACTATGCAATAATTAGGATCCAGTAGACCAGGACTTCACATACCTGCACCTCGAGCAGGAGGAAATGTATCTCGCAGTGCACGCACTGTAAAAGCATTAATCAAAACCCTTTTCCTCGTCTGTACCATAAATTTCAAGATGAAGCAGCAAAAGAACAATTAAGAATCCGTAATCGCTTGGCTTCAGACAAGAAATTAACAGTTCAGAATGAGGAATCAAAGAGGAGTAACTATAGCAGAGGCCAACCCCTTCATTCAGGTGGTTGGCAATATTTCCAAGTAATATAGTGGTATTTGTTCTGATCGCAGGCTCTTCATCCACCTGTGGCAAACAGAAAATTAAATTCAGAAGTAAAAGGGAAGAACCTATATCTCTAGCAGATCAACATTTAATTAGAAAAACAAAGGATAGTCGCCAGCAAGGCAGCAAGTCATAACACAGTGATATTATTGTACAAAAAACAGCAAATATGAGAAAGAAAGGTCAAGCTATTAAGAGGTGATAGATGCAGAACCTGTAGTTTGGAAAGGTATTTCAAAAGAGATCCCGATATTGTACGCTGAGAAAGCTGCAGCAGATGAAAAGAAAAAAAAAATCAGACAGAATTGGATTAAGATTATCAGCATGTATGACAAACAAACACATAACTTTTTAGCTATAATAACAGACGAGCTAATTGTCTTCTGATAAGACGAAACAGATGATAACATGCTAAACTGCTTTAAAAAAAAATTCACCAGAAAACAAAATTCTTTAAAAATATTGCTTCAGAGTTTTGTGAAGAAGACACAGAAAAAAGGAGCGATAGAATGGGTAAGGTGCAAACCTTAGGTGCTAACACGAGCATCGATTTAAGGGTCAACTCCCGAAGAAAAGCAGATGTGTCCGAAAATCCAGTGGCAACGTGAGGGAATACCTAGTGAAAGTACATTTCCTCATTGACGTTAAAGTCTGCAATCATCAGAACCACTGCCTACCAACCATTGCCAAAAACTTTCCTGCCCGAGAGAAAGGAGGCATTGAACTTACTTGTTCATCAACAATTTGCCCTGATAGTGACTCTCCAAATTGATCAACATGTTGCAGAAGTGAAACCCTAATAGCTCTATCATTGGAAGCAAAAAGCTTGACTATGGTTGGCAGCACCTGTGAGTCATAAAAAGAAAACCGTTCATAAAGTACACAAATAAAACCGAAAATAGCAACACATACAGAACAATCGAGTGATATAGCATGAACAGAACCTTGACACTGAAATCTTCAGCTGATAACCAAGAACCCATCTTCAATAGAGCAGTTAATGCAGGGGCAGCAGCTGAACCAAATTCAAGGGCAGAGGCTAATAAAGGAAGTAGCTACAGAAACCAGAAATTCTAGTCAAATACCAGAAAGCAAAGCCTTCAACTGAAAGAACATATAGCTGTCTTGGTGTTACACTACAATTTACAAGTCAAACCTTTTTCAGCACAATTTCACGGGGAAGCTGCTCAGCCAAATTTGGAAGCTTGCGGAAGAAAGTGTCTTTCTCGATGCTGTCTTTCAAGTTAAGGATCTCCATAAAATGTATAGTGTCCACCAGCTTATTTTGGAAATATTCTGTCAATTCAAGTATATAGAAGATGAGAAGCAAGAGATGAGGAATGATAGAAAAAAAAACTGAGAAAAATGATGAATCACTATAACAGACAGAAGCATAAATCCAGAGAATGGCAAAAGCAACAGTACTGAGGAAAAGAACAAAAAGAATAAGTCGTCCAAAATGATAAAGAATAGAAACACATGATTATTTAGTCATAATCTGTAAACAAGACACAAAGCTCACCACCATTTTCCAGTAGTTTGGAGGTATTCAATCTGCGAGAAGGCATGGAACTTAGGAGTCGCTGATAATCTGGAAGCAGAGACTGTGAGAAAAGAAACGTGCAAATGAAATGAACCCAACTTTTAAAAGATAAAAAGGCTTACAAACTAATAACTGCAACGGGTTAGGGCAAAATGTGAAGCCGTTGGCTAAAACACTTCTTTAATAATTTAAATGCCAAACACTGACACTACATCCATAAATATGAGAGGCCCAGAAGACGCACAACCCTATATTCAGGAACAAAACAGGTATTCATGGAAATAACATAAATGAAGATTAACCTTAGGAATGCAAACAGTGTTACGCAGCTCCTCTGTTTTTCCCAGTTTTGTACCAGAAAAAAGTTCATAAATTAGACAACCTGCAGAAAAGGAAGCAAAAGGTTTTCATGAGGCATCACACACAAGGCGGCCAGTTATGTTTTATGTTTGGCAATGTCACCATGACAACGTAACAGTACGCTCTAACTACAGCCAGGATCTTACCCAAGCCCCATGAGTCAATGGCCCAGGGTGGAGATTTTCTTATTGCAACCCAATCAGATTTCACCAGCTCCATTGGTTTATGTTGTGTCCCAACAAGCCATTCGTATGGCTGAAAACAAGATAAACTTTAAAAATGAGAAGGAAGCAAAACCACGACAGAGAAAATCTCTCAAGACAGCAAAGCCTATTCCTTCACTTGGACAAGATGTCCTGAAGTTACCAGGTTTCAAAAAATAAATCCTGATGTGAGCAGAGTTGTCCAAATATTTACACAGAGAGACCAAAACAAGAGTAGACATAATGTTGAGAAAACTACAACAGTGATGCCTAAATGAATTATGATAATTAATTAAGATACCAGCATAGGTCCACTAGCAGATTCATTGCTCCCATCAAACTCTGACAGAACATCAAAGGCATGGAGTTTCCAATCCAAAGTAGGTGTAACAACAACACTCCCCAGACAGACATTTCCATGAACCTGTTGATACAGTGCAACTTAAAGTTTTATTTGAAATAAAATGGAAGAAAAAGCATAAAAACAGAGATATTTTTATGACACCATCTACAGGAAATTTCCGAGATTTGACAAGAATATATAGTGTCCATTTATTCTAATTACTGACATAATAATGTTTATATGGAAATACTTACAAGCTTACAATCATTGTTCAGAAAGCTCACAGCTTTAGCTATCTGGTGCAGTCCTAGTGCAAAATACTCATCCCTGAACGAAAAACAATTCCTTGTTACAACAGATTCCGACAGACATGTTTGAGGAGCATCCATGACAAGCTAACATTTTGGGATCAAAAGTTTCGTGTCAACTGATGATACACACAAAAGAAAAAGACAGCCAGGAGTATGGAATGACTTGTCACAAGACACTAAGATGCTGCAGTACAAAATATGTTATGTTCCTTTTCCTGGTAACAAGCTCATCAGAAAATAGATACCTTTGTGTGCCTTTCAGGCCTAGCTCCTTAATCTTTTCAGACAGTGGCATAACAGGTTCAGTCACTATATAGATTGTAACCTTAGTAGCAGAACCATCATGAGTTTCAATCTCTGTGCTGTGGAGAAATGACAGTATATTCGGATGCCTCACCTGGACAAAGAATTGTAGGTGCTAATGTTACAGAAAGAGCTAAAAGTATTCCACATAATTCTGACACCCAGATCAATAGTACGATGAGATACTTAACACGTGCATTTGGCAATTTCAAGGGAGGAAGAAAGAATATGCGCTTCTCAGTTCAACTAGCCATTTAATTGATGTAACAAAGGGGCAAACACAGACAGCACTATTGAAAACACTGATTACAACTTCAGTCACAAAAATAAAATGGAGCCATAGTCCACACTATTCCGGTGAACAACAGTTCCAGTGGTGCAACTTATATAGTGTTACAAAAAAAGTTTAAAGCTTCTAGCTTTAGAAAAGGTGCTATCAATCACCAAATTGGCCATTTCTCTCTCAAATAAGAGCATCAGCTGCCCTGGGCTATTTCAGTAGATCGTTCCACTGTAGCCTATATACTGGAAGAAGAACATATTGTTTGCATGAACCGAGCCTAATCATGCCCATCTATGATAATAACTTACGGTACGAAGGCGCTTAACACCGTTCCGACCAGCAGCCAAATGCCCATCTTGAGCATTGCTACCAGAAATAGAAAATATCGAAACCGGAGATCCATCATCCTGAAAATACCACCAATACCAACAATGAGATTTTCATCAGAACATGTTAGAAATTCCAAAGTGAAGCTGGCAAAATAGAAATAGGGTATATGCATAAAATTTATAAAACTGATGAGATATATGCTCCTAGCATGAGGCATTGTAGAACATGACCAGAGAGTATAGTCATCATAACAGTCCAAGGAGCCAAATCCACCTTACTACCAGACTAGATCCAGACAGTTCACAAGCTTAACTTATGCCATAATCAATGAGAAAAAAAAATGGAAATCTCAAAATTCCTAGAGTACTCAAACAGGAAGATCCAAGAACAACACTATCATGGGAATGAAGGCCCATTATACTGGACGAGAAGTAACATTAACTACTGAACATGAAACAAAGGCAAAAATCTGATTCAGAATCGAATCTATTACCAAGTGGGGGGAAAGCCAGCTGAAATCACCCGTAATTTCAGATTCTAGTAACACTGAAATACGCCAAAATCTGATCCAAAATCCGAAATCAAAACTAACCCAGAAAACAAACAGAAAATGCCAATAGGAAAAGTAGCAGCTGAGATTAAGCCAAGCAAACATGTAGTACAACACCATCATCTATACACAATCATATACACATGTCAAATACAAAACACAGATTGGAAGGTTTACCTTGGAGGTACCACGAAAGTGAGACCAGGAGCCCCAAGAAGAAGGAAACGGATCACCAATGTTGTAGGGCAGATCCTTGAGGCCCGTACCAGATCCGCCCACCACTCCCTTCAAGAAATTGAACATCCTCGTACCTCTGTGTATTCTCGACCCGGAGATGGAGTAAGTCTGTTGCGTTCGAACGGATCTATGGATCGATGTGGAATTGAAGAACGGTGATTTGATCCAAGCGGAAAAAACACAGAAATGAGTAGCTTCGATCCAGGCGATTTCCTGAATGGTTTGTGTGAAATGTGAATTACGACGATCGAACAGAACGGAGCGACTGTCGCTGTTTCGAGGAAACGATAACGCACTTCGTGTGGTTTTTTAGACTGCGAGACGCCACGGAGTTGGATTTTTTAAGCGTTTTTATAGCCCATGGCCTGGACTATGGCCCAGTCCAATTTTTACACTTTCGATCCATATTGGACAGTGCGAACTGCGAACCCAAAAAAAAAATGACCGATATATTTGACTATTCGTATTAAAATATTTCATTTTAAAAAATTCACCCTTTTATCTTCTTCTTTTTTCATTTTAATTCGTACATTTATTTTGCCTATTTTAATTCTTAAATTCACCTTTTAAATTGAATTAGATTATATAAAACTGTATCCGAATGGAATTTGATTTAAAAAAATTTAAAATTAAATTAACCGAATCTAAATGAGAATAAAATATAAAATTTTTAAAATAAATAAAAACAAAATTCAATCCCGAGAATGATGAAATAAATAAAAAAATTCAAAATATTCACCCCGTGGGAAAGAAAATGGAAATCTATTATTGTAATTGATAAAAAAAATTTGTGAAAAAAATGTTGAATTGGAGACGGGCTAGATGGACTTAGTCTCGGCGTTCACAGAGACCAACAAATAAATGGCCGAAAAGGTTACACTTGCATTTTAAAAATAATCCAACTTAACTCACATGTTTAATCATGTCTAATCCATATAGAATTGTTGTTATTAATTTTAATATAATATATCTCTATCTTCAACCTCCAAAACTGTGTGAATTTCTTTTAATCTCTATCTAAATTATGTATCTTTTAGAGTGATAAATTAAAATGGATCAAATCGAGTAATGCAAATTAATCAAATTTAATTTGGAAACCGGTTGATATGGGATTTTTTTTAAAATCAAACTAAAATATTTTTGGAATTAAATGATGAAAACGATACGAATGATTAAATAAACTAATTTAAAAAAGTGACGGAATGGAAAACATAAATATTTAACATCCCTGTTTAAATTGATTATGTAATTAAGTATATTTCAAAATTCGAGCAGAAGTCTTCGCCTATACCTCAAAAACAGATCTTTCTACAAGTAAATGGATCAAGAGAAGACCCATGACTTGGTCAACTATTTTACTTGTTCTTTTACCGTGTGTCTTCAATGCAACCCAACAGTCAATCTTAATATATATATATATATATATATATATATATATATTTGACTTTATCAATGTGTGAGTTTCCTCCTATCCATATTTGGTAGGATTATATATTTCCAAATAATATTTATTGCTGAACAAATTTGTAACCTCAAACTTGGAGAGTTGGTACATTATTCTCTAATGTTTTTATAACGTTTCAGTAACGGTTTGATTTTTATAACCTAAGAAACCAGTAGAATATGATGATTATGATTTGTTTTTTTTTAACTTCATTTTTAGTTAGAAAAATTACAGTATTTTTAGGAAATTAACACAGTAAGCTTAACGTTTGAAAACGATATTTACGTCGCTGTATATGTAACAAATTGACCACCTTTGAATAATCTGATGTTTCGGTTTTTGTCATTTAAAAATGGACCCATCATAGAAGCTAACTTATAATATATATATACACACGTATGTATATAAATAGAATACAGACACCAACAATTTCACTCACATTCGGACCAAAATTTGTAATCAAGTATTAAACACAAGGTATGGAGGAGATCATGCCTATGATCTTCCATGGATTCGAACTGGTTAAGGACCTCGAATCAAGCTTACCGGAAAAACCGCCGGAATCTCTGTCGGATTCTCTCGATTCGATCTCCAAAACCTTCGGCCAGGCAAACGACCGGCTCAAGAACCTCATGAGAAACTCCGGCGTCGCACCCGACCGGCCTGAACCGGCGATGCCGGTTTTGTCTGGTTCGGACCAGATGTTGCTGAAGATTGATTCCGATTTGCTGCAGGAGTACTGGTCAAGGCCTGGTGCGTCGCAGTCCATGGACGCCGTGATTCAGACGCAACTGACGGAGGAGGCGGCGGCCCCCGCCAGAGTAAATGCTCCGGCTGGTTCTGCGGCGACGGAGGCGGAGGTTTCAGTGCAGTTGCGGCGTACGGAGCCTACGGATTCCGGCGGCGGTAGCGGTTCCTCGACGCCAAGGCCGCGGAGAAGGTAAATGTCTATATAGGGTATAGACATATACATATGTGTATAGCGTATTTGTATACATGCATAATAATGCATAATGCATAATGTGTGTGTATATATATATAACATACGTGTATACATGCATAACGTGTGTCAATATTATAATATATACACGCTTAAATTCATACTATTTTCTGAATGTATTGATCTTCATAGAGATGTACGATGACATCATACGTCAAGCAAATCAAATTAATGGTGAATTCCTACAACCTTTTTTTTTATTTGGAATGCTAATAGAAGAAGGTTTCTTCATTAAAAATCCAAGCACCGACACGAGAATTTACGTAAATATTATATTTTTATTGATTTTAACCGATCCAATTATATATACCTTGTGCCGTATATCTGGAATCCCAATCCACAACTGTAATAAATATAATATAAATATTTGATCATATAACATAAATATGTTATGTGCGAGCGTAGGAACAAAGAAGATGGGACACAACAAACAGTGTTGGTGGCAGCTCCGAGGATGGGAAACACAGAGGTGCCACCGGACGATAATTACACGTGGCGCAAATACGGCCAAAAAGAAATTCTCGGTGCTAAATTCCCTCGGTAATTTTAATTATTATTCTAGTTTTTGCTTATATATACACATATAAGTCTCTTACATACGTAATATATACATATAACATACGTAATATGTAACCTAAGACATCATAATTATAACTATAGTCATAATTATAAATTTATAACTATAATTTTCGTACAAAATATAACAAATACATCTGTGGTTTTGTTTTCAAGGGCATACTACAGATGCACCCACCAGAAACTATACAACTGTCCGGCGACGAAGCAAGTTCAGCGACTCGACCATGACCCGTTCACGTTCCGAGTCACGTACCGTGGCTCGCACACGTGTCACATCTCCCCCACCGCTCCGGTTTCATCAGCCGCCGAAGTCGCCGACATGGCCACCGCAATGTTCAGCTTTCCCGGCGGCGGCGACATGGGTTTGATCTTTCCGGCCCACGGTGACTGCCAAGGCCACAACCGTATCCAGTGACGGAGGAGACAAGTGAGATTCGCCGGAGGAAAAGGAGACGTTTTTGATAAAAAAAAAATCATTTATATATTTATTATTAAAGATTTTGGTCTCGGATTTACATATTGTTTTATTATGCAAAGAAATAAAAAGAAGGAAATTATTTATTTATTTATCTATACAGATTGTTTCGAAAACTTCGGCGGGGTTTTGTCGGTTCGCTAACAAGAGGTTTGCCGTCCAAGGAATCTAACGTAAAAAGATTCAGACAAATAATTTAGTGTATATATATATATATATCTATATATATATCTATTAATGTGTATATATATGTGTGTGTGTGTGCACACTCTCTCTAGATTTTTTCTAGAAATATTATAACGATTAAATATTTGTGAACGTATAAGGTACATAATATATGTATATATATATATAAATAAACACGATGGACCGATTCATCGAGTTTGTCATATATGCGACTCGGGAGTCGCACTCAAGGGACACGGACAAGGTGACATGTCTGTACAAGGAAACAACGAGAAGGCAACAAAATCAACTTCTCGTTACAACATGCGTAATAATGCCTGTGTCTTTGTCCGATCCTATCTTCTTCTTCTTCGTTTTTTTTGGCAAAGCATTCATAGCCACTATTTATTTACGGATAGAACTCAAGCCCTTGCACGTCCACATTCCCTCTAATCAAATAAATTATTGCTCATTTTCTGTATATATATACACACACACACTCGTATTTATGGTGTTTTATTGAACAACAAAAACATAATTTTAACAAAAAGAGAACACTCTTATAAATATAATTTTACAAAGTCCAATATTGGATTCCTAGTTCGATTACTGTTAGGAATATAATTTCATCATATAATAGATAATTATATTCCTAATAATTAATTACCTATATATACACAATACAATAGGCATCCGAGATTAAAAAAAAAAAGCTGTTTGTTTTTTTTTTACAACTGAGTACTCGGATGAATGTTTCTCTTTAAATTTGGATTTCGAATTCGGGACGAGACATATACTTTACATCCATGTCACCGGTTGAACTATCCAAGTTTGGGTGGAAAGCTCCTTGTTGTTGCGGTCTCCAATGGCGATTACCTATACACAATATACCATGAGAATTACTTACTCGTTTCCCCACATGGATCCATACATGAGATCATGTTCATCAAACGCCAAGTCTTGCCAAACCAAAGACAAGTCCTCGGCCGTGGGTTGGTAGTATTTCCGATCATGATCATCGCAATCCACCTCTAATTCCTCCTTCAGTACAGTTCCTGTAACGTCACTGCAGTTTTCGTCTTGTAACTTAGCTTTAATCTGGTCATTAATGGTGCAAGAACCACATGTGGTGTTGTCAGAATCCATGGCGATCTCGAAAGGCTCGATCTTGGCCGGAATCTCTTCGTTCGGGCTGTTGCATGTGTGGTTGCCTATGTATGTGATTTGGAACATCTCTGGATTATGTTCGAGTTTCTGGACTTGCTTTGTAGCTCTGCACCCTTGTGTGTTCTTGTGTGTGCACCTGAAGTAACTTCTGCAACATTCACAACCAAAATCTCTTATAAACTATACATATATATGTGTGTGTGTGTGTGTAAACGACAAAAGAATAACACTGTTTATAGCCTTTTTATCTATGTAAATATACATGTGTGCTCTCTTGTATGCTTCTAGAATACTTAGATTTACGCATCTACACATACACACACATATACATATATATATATATATATATATATATATATATATATGGATTAAGGACCTTGGATATGTAGCATTAAGAATCTCCTTCTGTCCATATTTTCTCCAAGCATGAGCATCTTCAGATGTGTTGGACTCTACTGTCCATGATTGCGATTTCCTCCTGCAATTATATAATAACGTAAAGTCTAAATCACACGTATGATTCACAAAGAAAGCGAGAACAATAATAATTAAAAAAACATAGGTTAAATATATATAGGACGAATTGCTTTGTCCAAATGGATGGATCTTGTGTCAGGAGTTGACCAAGAAAGCCGCTTCTTTGGTTAGGTTTCTAAAAGTAGATCTGCTGTCTGAACTCAGCCTGAGATTGCGGAACTCAACTATTATTGTCATGGGAAAGAAAATGGATTTTATCTTTCTGTCAATAACCAATCCAAACTCTCATTATAACCCTTTATGAAATGTCAGTTCAATATGTAGCAGTAAACATGGTGGTACGAACAGTAATTACATGTGGAAAAGCTGCATCAACAGTTGTCGAAATCCACCCCCAAAAAAAAAAGAGAGGACAAAAATTGGATCCACGAAATATTCATGGACTATCATCAAACACGATCCCAAAGAAAATCATGAGAGAGAAATAGAGAGAGAGAGAGAGCTTACTGTCTCTTGTAGCACCCTCTCTTGCCCTTGTTAACCCCCAACGTCCTCTTCCTACAGTCACCGGAATTCTCACACCGCCCATCGGAAACCGCCGCCGCCGGAGAGTCGCCGGAAGAAGTATTCCGGGAGCCATCGACGGGAACAGCAACGGAGACGGGCTCAAAAGAACCCAGAACAGAGATGGTCTTGTCGAAAGAACCCAAGATCTTGGCCATGAGCTCATCCACCGGACCCGAACCGGATACGATCCGGTTCAGGTCGTTGGGACCATGATCGGGATTCTTAGAGAGAAGAATCTGAAGCTGAGAGGCGAACCGGTAGCCTTCAACAAGTTGCTTGGCAACTTCTTGCTTTAAAGCTCTAATGTCCATAAAAATGGAGTTGGCTTTTACTTTTTTTGTGCGTTTAATGATTATATGATCGAAAGGGGAGCGGTGAAAAGTGTATAATATAGTGGGGGAGGTGAGAGAAAAAGATAAGATTTTTAGGTTAAGACACAGAGAAAGAGGAGAGAGAGAGAGAGAGAGAGAGAGAGAGAGAGAGAGAGAGAGAGAAGACGATGAAGAAGAATTGGGAAGATGAGAGGAAGAGAGTGGGAAGGAAGGTAGAATTTAACCCCCACAAACCATTTTGGTTATGAGGTTATTGCTGACGTAATACATATGACGTCATATTTCTCGAGAAAAAATCAGAAAGTTCCAAAAAAAATATTATTTAAAATTCGTTTTATATCCGAAGGATAGGGGGCAAGGGAAACTCTTTAATTTTTTATATTTAAATATTAATTAGTTTTAAAACATATTTCCGATGTAAATTTACAATTCTAAAGTATTTTTATTTAGGTTTGAAATGGATGAATTAATAAATATTATAATTTTTTTGGATGTTTTGATAAAAAGAATTGTGTACAATATGTCACTAATTGAAGTTTTGAATCAAGTTTCTTAAAATGGTATTAGTTATAAAACAATTTTAATTCTGATTAAGTTTGACAAATTAATAAATATATATCATTTCTGGATTTTTTTCTTCTGAAAATGAAAGTTAAGGGTTTGAATGGTGGGAGTTTTTGGAGTTTTTAGAATCCAAAAACAAAAAAAACAACATTCAAGTTTTTACAAAATTACTTTTCCTAAAAATTTGGAAAGCCATTTTAGTGAAAAAATCAATGAAAAATCAAAAGCTACTTTTTTTGAGCTTTCAAATATTATAAAATCCAAAAGCCAAAAACCAAAAACTAAAAACCAAAATCCAAAAACTAAAACCAAAAACCCAAAATAAAAACCATCTCCATTCAAAGCCTAAATCTGGTATCTCGAGTAATTGGGGTTTTGAATAGATATTTTTTAAAATATAAATTTTGTTTTTTTTAAAGTACATAACGAGAGTATATTTTGAGTTTTTGTTTTTCTTTCTATAGAAATAATTTGGACAAGATTTTATTTTTACTTTCGGACAGGACGAAATCCGTTCCCATTGTTGTACTTTTCAGTGTTTTTCTGCTTTTATTTTAGTGAGATATGATGGTATTGGTAACCGTCCATGTCCACACTAGATTCTTAAATGAATAAATAGATGAGGTGACTATAAAAAAAATAGACAGATTTGATAATATTTTAGGACCAAACAAAATAATAAAAAACGATCTCAATCAGCTACTACAAATGATAAATCTTTTTTTTTTATTTGGAAAATATAATTTTTTTTATATTATGAGATATTTAGGTGGGTCGAACCGAAAAAATATAAAACTTCATTCTTCGACAAATAAAATAACTATTGACAACATAAATGAACTATATATATATATACATATATATGCACTTTTTCCTTTTTTTAAAAGAATGCTTATTATTACTACATATAATTATCATATTATTCGAATATTTTTTTAATAAAAAAAGTGTCATTAAAAATTAGTAACCAAATTATTTAGTCAATGGTATTTTTCTTTATACAGGTGTTTGAATTCTAGTTACCGTTATTGCTATGTTAGGAAATTGTTAGGGAAAATGATTGATTACCACCATTTATTAAGCCAGTTTTGGGGCACTTAATTACTATGCTCCTGTTTTTTTCTATTAGAAAAAGGTTTACGTATATTATAATCTTAATTAAAAATACTCATCTTCGGCTTGATGGTAACTTGCTTATTGTTCGTTTGTATATAATATATAGTCGTTGAATGAACTTTTCATAACCTCCAAAAGATATATATTTTGCGAAACATTATTCTTGATTTTTTGGTCCCGTTGTTGTATGAACTCTCTCTCTAGAAATAATATATACAAGTCTATAAAAAAAATTATAATCAAAGATAGTGTCAAAAATATGATAAATAATTTTTAAATTTTTTATTTAGGAGACTTGTTAAATATTTTAATTAAAACCATAAGTACAAAATTAACTTATATGTTTTGGAATAAATTAATCGTGGTATATTGGCTAATTATGGATATGTCTGAAATAATTCAGACAAATTAAGTTGAGAATTGAAAATAATTTTTTTTATAAAAAAGTACATACGGCCTATGAATTGTATGTCTGCGTCATGGTGGACCCACTTAAAATACGAAATTTATGATGTAAATTTCAAGCAATAGGCAGTAAAGTTCGGTAAAAGTGGGATCACATTGTTTGAGTATTTCTAAATTTATCTATGATTTTATTTTTTAACTTTTGTATAATCTATCCGTCGTATTCAACAATATATATACATATGTGTGTTTGTGTGTGTGTGTGAAAAGCACGCAATGTTTCCGGAAGACAGAATCGAATGTTCAACCAATAATTAAATTAAATTAAGATATTTGAATGTTGGTACAAAAGAATATAAAATATTCTTTTTCTTGGATGGTGTGCTAGAGGAAGTCAACGGTGGCGGTGATTTTTTTTTTGAAAATTTATAAAAACAAATTTATAATTTATAAAAAAAAAGATCATGAGTTGTCACTAAAAAAAATAGCTAATTTGAATACACATGAAGATCCCTGTAACAACTGCTTTGTTTAAAATAATATGATTCATGTCGGATATATTAATATTTACCACAAAAAAAAAAAAGAGTTGAATCCACCGTAACAATTGACCAAACCCCCCAATTATAATATCGCCACTGTATTTGTAATTTCCTAATCTTACGGCCCATATATATATATATATATATATATATATATATATTGTTGAATCTATCAATATAATCATTATTTGGCCGTTCAATATCTGAATCTTAGATAATTTCGTTCACTACCGTATTTCATCCACTACAGCAAACATTTAAAACATACATTATACATACACGTGTATATATGTGTGTGTGTATACAAAGGTGTGAGTGGGAGTAGATATGGTCATTTGAACTAGATTCACAAGAGTGCAAAAATGAGTCTCGCCCCGAGCCTACTCGCGAGTCGCGAACCGGCTCGTTGTTTCCGAGTTGGGTTGGGTTGAGAAAATATGAAAACAAATAGGTAGAAAATTTTTAAAATTACTACATCCACATTTAAATCTAAGCTAATTATGAAAAATCTAATTAAATTGAAACTTTTTTTAAAAAAAAATAGATCTTTATCAATAAAATCAAATAAAAAATTAATTAAAATATAAATTTTCTAAAATTAAAGATGCTCCATTAAGTGGAGACCTATACGTCCTTCTTATTACAACATACTATATAGATAAACCTCTGGTTGAGATCAAGGTGTCATCATCATTGGGTTGCTTGGCCGCCATGAAAACTCTGGAGCTCTCGTCGAAGATTCTGGCCCTCCTGTCGTAATCCATGGGGTCTTTCCCTTCGTCTCCACCCATAATGGCCTCTCTCTCCAAACCCTCCAACATCTCCGCCATGTCTCCTCCTCCAAATCCTCCTCCTACTCTGCCGCGTCATCCCTGGGTCCCACGGCCACCAGCCGTGTCCTGCCGCGTGTTCTCTCCATGCCCAACCTCTGCGGTCGTCTCAAGAACGTGGCCCTGCTGGTCGTGGTCGTGGTCAGAAGACACGGCGGCCGAGGTTTCGTGTTGCATAATATGGTAACTGCTTCCATGTTTCTTGATCTTCTTGTTCCGGTCCTTTTGGGTTGGTCCAATGCAAGTGCTGCTGAGTCACTCTTGCATGCCTTTATTATAGAGGGCTGCGTATGATAATTTTATTGGAGAGAGAGTAATGGATCAAAACTATTGGCTTAATTTGTGGAGTTGGATGTCTGAGTGCTGTGGTTCACCACGTGGCACGACCTGGTTGAAGATTGGCTCGTGGCGTGAGACAACAAGAGGCACGCGTGAGATTAAGAGCTTAGATTCGGGCACACTCTTCGAAGCCGTCCTTTCACTTTCAGCTTCGGTTCGCGGTTTCTGCTCTGAGGCTTTGAATTGTGGATAACGTTGGACCAGGCGGTCGAATAATTTTATTCTCCAAAAAAATAAAATAAGAAAAAGAACTTGATAGATATGTGATATAGAATTCTTACATACATATATATATATATATATATATATATATAATGTTTTTGTCCAGTACTTCCTACCTAACTGAGCAAATGTAATGAATTAATCAAACACGTCAAAGCTTTTGGTGAGGCAGCATAAATCATTTGATTCGAATCGAATTCCGGGTGTTAAAACTGTGTGTGATCTGCTCATATGGATGGTACATTGTCAAGACAAAGTTGATGACGAGGCTGCAGCATTTTCCGTGAGCCTCCTTTCGGCTGCCATGGCAGCTGCAACGGAAGGTGGCAGATCTCTCAGATTCGTCTGGTCCCAATTATCTCCTGTGTCTGGTGCTGAGGTTGAAGAGAACAATGACTCGAGATCTCTGAGCGTCAAGAATGGTTGATCTTGATTCTTCGTGTTCCCGCTGATGAACGAGTTGGAGGAGGAATTCACGTTTCTACTCGTGTTCAGCTTGTATATGCTCTCCTCCACCGTGCCCTTTACCTATTTCCGGGGCAAGAAAATAAAACACAAAGTCAATCGCCTAATGCGTAAGGCTTGTCTTGTCGAAGAAACGATGAACGGTAACGGACAAGGAAACGGTGAACAAGAGTAGGCTTGTCTTGTCCAATCCGATGAACACGGCTGACGGCTTGTGCTTCTGCCGCCGGGTTTAGAAGTGGTTCCACCATAATTACATGCTGTGCCTCTAGTAGATTAAGGCCATTGGCTCCATGCTGTATCAATAGCAACAGAACTTGGATCGATCTTGGCTCTTTCTTATGGGGGTTTCTCTTCTGGTTCTGAGTTTCTCCTCTGAATTTGCTAATGGCTGTCTGTGATTTTCTGTGGGAGTTCCAGCAAGACATCAATGTCAGATTCAGACACCCCTTACAGAGAAATTCGGGGGTCCAGTTTGTTATATATATATATATATATTACCTGCCTCCTTTCATTCGGATGAAGGTGATCCCGTTCCCGGTAAAGGCATGCTCTAACACGTCGAGAACATCGTTCCAGCTGGAGAAAACAAGAACCTTTGCTTCTGGGTCGGTAGACTTGATCCACAAGATTCTTCTAGTAACAGCTTCAACCTACCCGATAAAAGAGTATGGAAAAAAGAGGATCAAATGCTTGTTTTTCTCTAAATTCTGCGAAAAAAGCGGCATAAATGCATCATTGGAGGGTGATGATGAATACAGGAAGCCAACCTTTGTACCGTATGAACCTTGAACTACGAAGGATGCTTCGTCTTCTTTGTAATCTTCATCTGTGGAAGAATTGAATCCGTTGTTCCGTCTATCATCAGCATAAGCAATATTTCCCACATCTGTATGCTGTCGACATATTGGACACATCACCCATTTCTGCTGAGTATCATGACCTGATCTGCTCTCAGTCATAGCAAAGAAGCCTGCAAGAATGATAAGAAAAGAATAGACTTTTATGACATTCTGATCAGTTACATACGAGAAAAAGAGAAAGAAAGCATTCTCCAAATAACCCGAGGTGAAGGAAAATGCATTAGGTAGTCGATAAATCCCTCAAAGACCTGCGATAAAGCGAGGACAAAGCCAAAGGCATTACATTTACAGCAAGTGGTGTGCCCACACTGGAAAACCATCTTCTGATTCCATAAATTTTCATGGCAAATGGGGCATGCTTCCTCAGGTTTCAGTAGCCCTTCGCTTTTCTGTTCAATGGAAGATGGAACCTTAACTTCCGGTGTCAGTGAGGATTGTTGATCTGGAATCTCAGATTCTTGTTTCTGTTTGGATTTCATCAACTCCTGATAGAGAAAAACATATTCTCTTAATGTGTTCACAACCATTGAGTAAAGAATTGGAAAAGCATATAAGATTTTTCACCAACACAAAGTATCAAGTCCATGTTCGGGAACTTGTACCCGCTAAAACAAAATCTAAACTTTCTGGATCAAATTTTCAAAAGGGCTGAGCTGGAATTCGGGAAATGCCAAGATAAGACGATTTTTGCTACCGGTATGGTGATATTCCACAAGTTAATCTCTATAGACAGCAACACAGACATAATGACTTATCTCCAAGAAGTAAAAGAGAAAACATGATCGATATAGATCACACTAACATGCTACTGATTTACCTTCAAGTAACGAAACTTTCCTTTTGTACTAAGCAACGATGATAGAGCCAGAAATTTATCGTTTGTGTTCTGCACGCTAGCTGCATCTAACTCATCAAGGCTCAAAGCATAAATCTGAGTGTCATCTTCAAATTCTCTTAGCTGTAATCTCATGGTTGCCATCTTGATTTCATCATAGGCACGCAGGAGCTGAGCTTGTGCCCTAGACAAGGCCCTTGCATGTGCATATTCCTTGCGCATCCACTTAATCGTGAAAGGAAATGGGAAATTCCTCAGTTGGTGATATCAAAGCAATGAGGTGTTTAAACCTAGAAAAAGAGAAATTCCTCAGGCCATACCTCAAGCATTTGCATGTGTTTTGTGGCTGTCAACTTGCCTTCCCTGTCTAAGTAGGTTTTACAATGGGTTCGTATAACTCCAAGAGCTATTTCCATCTCGGATGGAGATTTTGAAACCTAATATCAGCAAATGAAGGTAACTTTTGCATCAGACAATAAGTGATTTGTGTAAAAGTTTGTATTAACCTTTCATATAAACATAAGCAAATAGATGCTTTCTTCTAAGCTATAAATTCAGGTATTGAATGAAGTCGAACAACGCTGACAAAGAGACGCACAATTACGATATCACCAGAGTTTCTCTTTGTCGGCTCAGTGTCTCCATCATTTGATGAATTCAAGTCCTTGTTTCTCGATGATAAACCCGAGAAGAAAAGATTAAGGGCAGATTTCTTCTTCTGCATATCTACCATCTCTTCCACAGATGCAGATTCCATTACTCCTCTACGAGATCTGTTAAGACGGAACAGTCTCGCCTCATATTCCTGGGGAAGATTTAACAAAACACGTAACGATGATGACAAACAGTCATTATCAATACAAATAGCATTGAACACACTAGCAAAAAAAGCAGACCTGGAATAGCTCGTCTAGTTCACAGTGAAGACATAAGGGGCCATCATCCTTCTTCTGGCAATATTTGCAATTCGTAATCCGCTCAATATCCTCAATATTTGGTTTCTCCATTGTCTGGTCAATTTCTAGAAGCCTATCAATCACCCTTTTTCTGGAGCCTTCCAACGTATCCATAAAAGTCTGGAGATGAAACTTCATGCCATGTATAGTTCTGAAGCTGAAAAATGATGCATGTATCCACCATTAGCTGCCATTGAAAGTCAGCTCTAAAATGTGCCCTAGAAATGAGCTACCGAAAACTATAGAAGTATTATTTCTCAATAGACATCATGAAGAAGAAAACGACCAATATAAGCTAAAAACTATTGATCTTATCGCTAGACATTTGTGTAAAGTATTCTTACATGTTAGGGAATGATATCAATCTATCTTTTCTTTTCCCTTAGATCTAAAAAGTCTGACAGAAAGTTCACTATTTCAGTAACCAAAGGCCTAAAATAAAAAGAACTCTATTATAGTTTTTTTTCCACAATAACATGAAGAAGTGAAAACAGTCAATCATAATGAATGCACTAACTGAGAAGTTGTTCTGGAGGAGCTTGAATTATTTAGGTTCCCATGGATGGCCTCTTCAATCTTTCTGGTCAACTCAGCGGCGAAATCCTTGTTTTGCCCAGCAAGTTGAAGGGCGTCCAGCCACCAATTTGAATGTTGTTTTCCCATATCGCTCAATGCATCACAAATCTAGAAAAACGGTTTTCCATCGGTTAGCATTATGCCAAATGGTGAGAGCTCAAAGCAAAGAAGTTTGGCACCTAAAATGTCATATATGTGTGATCTTGACACAACAATAAACCAGGGAAATGTAAACTTTCTTGAGACAAAATAAATGGCTACGCATTTCTTTTATCATGCCATTTTTGCTTTCTTGATTAGATGAAAATAGACATCTTTTCAAAATAAATTATTTCCGCAAAAGAAAAAGAAAGTCACAAACAAAGTACTGCATAATAGATATACGAGCCACCAAGCAAATTAAATGCTATAAAATGAGCACATTTTGCAAGTATATTCCCCTTCTCTAACTTCAATTTTCATTGGACCCTCTTTCCTTCTCTTTGGTGATACTTTTCCATCTATATCTTGGTTATGCTTCTTAACTTTCCCTTTGGGGGAATAACCTACACAGTCTGCATGCTGCCAAGCATCACATATGTCACATTGCACCCACATTCCCTTGTATTTGCGACTTTCACTCACAGCTCCACATATGCACTCAACACGTTCCCTTTTCAATCTTTTCAGGCTAATTTTCTGCTCATCAGGAACTGATGATATATTAGATTCAGATATTCCATCTTTGGCTGGTTTCCGATTAGAGAAGATGCAAGCAAGCAGCTCAACCGTTTTTCCCAGACCTTCCTGCTGTGCTGCAGAAAGCTTTGAATAGAATCCAGATAAATACTTGGCTTTTAAAGTCTGACAACCTAATTTCAGTGCTTGACACTCTTCATCTTCCTTTAAACCATTTTCTGGAACACAAGAGGCACAATGTTGTGCAGTCCGCTGAGGAACAGGACCTAAATTCTCTGGCTCGTTTACCCTTTGTCTTTTTGCAGAATTCTGATCATCATCAGCTGAATCTACTGCCTTTTTAAGACTTCCTAATGCGGGAACTTTCCCTTCGTAGCTTTTAACCGTGGGCAGTATCTCAGCTAGATTGTGAAGAATATGAATATTCAACAACGGATCAAGACGAAAATCTTCAGAGTGCTGATTAGTTATATTTAATGCTTCGTTGTACAATCCTACTGCTTGAGAAAATTCTAGCTTAAGCATGGCAACTGCTGCAAGACCATTTAAAGCAACAATTAATGTTCTTAGCGCCTCTTCTCCCTCTGTCTGGGTCTTCTTCACAAGAACCTAAGGAAAATCTCCATTAGCAGAAAGAAATAGCAAGGACAGAGAAAAGTAAGAATCTTGCAGAACCCACCATTAGGATTTCTTCCATAGTCATTGGAGTTTGCTGCAAAGAACGTAAACCAGAACTCCCTACTTGAGGATGGCAGCAAGCTTGACGTAACTTCAAGAGAGAATTCAATAATTTTGCGGCTTCCGTGTGCGTGATCAAAGGATTATCAGAAAATTTTTGACCTGGAGAGTTTAATTTGGAAGATAAAGAGCTTATTAGCCAAGATAGAAGCACCTCAGCTTCTCAGAGAGAACTTTCAAGAGAAAAAGGCAAAGATAGGAAGTATGGAAGACACTGTCCGCAGCCAAGGGTACCTCTTTTGAGAATATCTTGTTTCAAAGTTTCTATAACTTCACGGGCATAACTCACACAAGTTTCATGCTGTCTGCTATAGAAATGCTCTTCGATTGCCGAAAACGTCAGCCAAGAGACACATTCCTCTTGAGGTGGAATCTGCAACTCATCAGCAACATGGAGCTTTGATGAACGCCACATAATCTGTTTGAAAATTTTATGTGTGAAGTCCATGGCCTTTGTGTCTTGCCTCTGAACAAGCAAGAATGATATTAGATAGAAAACGATCAAACAAACACAGATTTAAATATTAGTTCGGTCTAAACCTCATATGGGTCTCTTATCACTTCGCTCCACCATCTTGAAACATCAAAAGGACTTGCTTTAAGGAATCTTAGTAGTCCATATAAGTCATCAAGTTTGCGTTGTATAGGAGTTCCGGTGATACACCAACGATGTTTAGTATATAATCTCAGCGCCATCTCTGTTGCAGCAGCTGCATTGCTTTCTACCATTTGGGCCTCATCCAAGCAAATCCTCCACCAGAATATTCTGGTTAGTGGAGTAGGAATGACTGGGTACCTGTCAATAAGTGGACAGACATGTATAAAAAACACGGTTTATTCAAAAACTTGCAAAAAAATAAACTTTTCTTTCCTACATTTCGATCTGAAAATCACATGTGCTGATCTTGTGAGAAAAGTGCCACAGACCAAAAATCCAAAATATCAACCGTTTTTGAAGCACACCTTTTCTGGAATCTAAGAACATGCCGATCACCATCATGCCTGTCGAAGTCATGTGACAAGTCCTCTTTCAGCACATCATATGTAGTTAAAATGATGTCAGCATTGACAAGTTCACTGATGTCAACCATAGGAGCTTCAGAGAGTGAGGCACTCCTCACACCTTCATACACACATGTTACAAGGGAACCCAAGCGCGTATGACTACAACAGGATAAATGACCGAAAATCATTACTTTCATTATATGAAGCAGGAAATAATGTAGACAAAATTACTTATTGAGAAAAAGCATCATGTTTAGATGCAATTCACATTAGGTCAAGAGTTTGGTAATAACTAACAAGGAAAGATTTTTGAAAGAGGAATTCACGAGTCTAGTGATGATATTCATTGACACTTGACAGAAAGAGTCATTTTTTGTGAGAATCTGGACAGTAATATCATGGATGAGGCTCTAACTCTGTGAAATACAAGTCTCAGACCAGGAGGAAAGCAGTAAGAAATCGGAAAGAAAATGAATTTTCAACCTGGCAAAGAGAACGACAAAGAAAAAACTGATACCGTGTAATCTCTGAATGCCACTGGGGTAATATAGGAGCTGGACAGACAATAAGAGTAGCACCCGTTGGGATGGGAGAGACAGTGACTTGTAGAAGTTCGGAGCACATTTTGCAAGTATATTCCCCTTCTCTAACTTCAATTTTCATTGGACCCTCTTTCCTTCTCTTTGGTGATACTTTTCCATCTATATCTTGGTTATGCTTCTTAACTTTCCCTTTGGGGGAATAACCTACACAGTCTGCATGCTGCCAAGCATCACATATGTCACATTGCACCCACATTCCCTTGTATTTGCGACTTTCACTCACAGCTCCACATATGCACTCAACACGTTCCCTTTTCAATCTTTTCAGGCTAATTTTCTGCTCATCAGGAACTGATGATATATTAGATTCAGATATTCCATCTTTGGCTGGTTTCCGATTAGAGAAGATGCAAGCAAGCAGCTCAACCGTTTTTCCCAGACCCATTTCATCTGTTGCAATCATATTTGACCACATTAGGAATAAAATAACATGAACGTTTAATGAAAGTATATAGATATGGCCGCAAAACATATGGCTCGAGAATATATTACATGCAACTACAAGTCCAAATAATTTCTTCTTTTCTAAAGAAAGTCTTATTCTGCTGCTTAGATATGGAAGAAAAAATAGACTGTACTTACCAGCCAGGATACCGCCCAAGATTTGAGGTGAAAAATACTCTGGTACCAATGAGATATTCCCACTAAATGCAACCAAACCATGATATAAGAAAAAAAAAACAGCTCGAAGCCAGCTGTTCTTTAAACAACAAATTCTACTGAGAAGAACTCATACTGCAAAAAAGTAGTTAATTAGATTTCTCTTGTACCGACCTGAATGGGTTATAGAACATTTTTGAAGTAGAGTCGAGGAATCCAACAGGGATACACAGAGGAGAAAATGGGCTCTCCTCCTCTGTCAATTGTACAGGATCTCCTTTCTCTCGTTGCACCATCCAATATGCTGCACGCCGCTGGTATGGCCTAAGGGCTGGAAGCAAATCAGGGATGTCATCTCCAAGCGTCGCATCCATCCTGGATAGAGAATACACCAAAAGTTGGAGAATAACGTTGAGACAGTAATGTGCTTAAACAGATATAACAACTTTACTTTGATGGCTTTATGGCTTCATAAAATGCAGCAACATCGAATCTTGGCTGTTTATTGGAGTGAGAAGTTTCAGCTTCCGTCACTTGTGACATCTCAGTTTCTGTCGCATTTAATTTTGTCCCGTATCTGACCTCTGATGTCATCATCTCTGGGCGCAGCCAAAATATGACATTCATCATACTCTTCTTCCATACTTGTCTCGTGTTGTCAAGAAGCGAATCACAAGAATCAAAGGCCTTCTGAAGCATCTCAACTCTAACTCTAGGAGAAGACAGCCCCTGAAGACCCGGCAATAACCTTAATGTCAAAAACTCCAAACTTGAAAGATGGACAAGACCTGAAACACCTTCACCTGGACCGTCAAAACCCGCCGACCAAACCACTGAGTCAGCCTCTGCATCGTCAGACACCTTTTTATCTATCAATTCAAGGGTAACATCACCAGAGGAGAGAACCGGCCAGTGGCCAAGCTTAATCCGATCAACAAACTGACTCACGTTGCACACCCGAAACCTCAAGGAATAATCAGGGCACTGGAAAACATCATCAAGCGAACGGCAACTGCAGAAACGTTCTCTTAAACTTAAATTCATCAGAACAACTTCAGATATATCCAAATGCTGTTCTGAAACTGGATGAGTAGAACATATGTTGACATAATATGGCTTATCTATATCTACAAAGTCCTTTTGCCCTGAACCCTCAGCAACAGCTACTTCCTTCTCATCAGACTCTCCATTAGCTTGAGTAATCGAACCCACTGAACGGCGCGGTTTGGATTGTTTTCTCCTACCCATCACTACAACAAGAATAGAAACCGCATTGACGCAACAATAAAACCAAACACACGACCGCCACGAACATGAACAAAGCTACAATACCCAGTTGAGGAAACAACAGAATCAAGCGAAAAATCTATTGAATTTTCGATAGAGATGATGCCGCAAAGCTTCGCTGATACATAAGCTGAGAATTTACAGGGTACCATGCTCGAACTCGAGAAGCAAGAGCTTGTCTGTCGAACCTGAGAAGTGAAAGAGAGGACTCGAACAAATCAGGAGCAGGGGATGGTCGCTTGGTGGTGGAACCGGTGGTCTGGTGAAATCACGCGCCGCCTGCGAGCCGCAAACCGCCGCATTTTGATTCAGGGCGATAAATTTCCAGGTTTATCTGCGAAGCACGAGCTTGGTGTCACCGACGTAGACAGATATACTAAATTACGAAATTGCCCACAACCTCTCGAGAAATAACGAAACTGCCCCTCTGAAGAAACATAACATAACCGTTGGAGACCGATCTGGGTCCCTTGGACAGAACAACACCAAAACCCTAATCTCGAGCTTCATCTGATTTTGTGCTCTGACTTCGGTTCATAGTTATAGTTGATTGTGAATGAGATTTGAATCACCGAAAAAATGGAAGCGGGAGGAAGAATCTGAAAAACGCGGCGATGGAGCAGAACCTGACGCTTGAGGAAGGTCAGAGCATTGCCCAATGGAAAAGGCTCTCGAGTCTGGTAGTAGCAGCAGCATGTATTGCCTGTCAAGTTCTGTTTTTTGAGCAAGTTCGTTCCCTTCAAAAGCCACCAGAATGGTAGAGCCTATTCCATCTTTGGTTTTCTTCTTATGTTTTAGTGTGGATGACATCTCGTTTCAGCTTATGCTGATTCCTCAAGTCTTGTATGTGGTGCATGCAAGCCGGTAGTCTTAACGAAAACTAAGTCAAAGGAAGGAAGGGGATGAAAGTTCTGGAAGACAGACCTCAAATCAAGAAGAAAAATGATGAGATTGATGATGATGATGATGATGGCGGCTTACCTTCCATTGGAAGCTAACACGGACAGGATAAAGTTGGAACAGATTCAGGATCAGAGTTCAGATTTATAGAAATACTAGTTGCAAGTATCTTTTATTTCTGGTTCATGTCTCGCTTATTTTTCCAGCCGGGAAGCTAGCAATACACTGATTTTGTTACCTGTTGGGAAACTTACAAATTCTCGTTCACATACAGAAAAAAGGGTACTTGCACGGGATGCCTTGAACTGCGTGGTCAGATAGAGCAACCATTGGGAGAGGCTTGCAACAGCATCTACATGCCCGAAACCTGTTTCTTTTCGTCAAAACCTTTTGCTGAAGAACAACACATCAGAAAGTGATGGTGATGAGTTTCCTGGGGAACGAAGAGGAGAAACTATGTGGGAGCGCAGTGGTGAGCTCAGAGGTGACCGTAGAGGTGAACTTTCCATTTTATACAATGCATGACGCAAGCCCACGATTTCAGAGGGATCCATTGTGGTGCAGAGGTGAGCATACGGTTCGAAGGTTAACCCCGACTTGTGGTCCTCGTCTTGTATTTGCCCTGAAAGATCTCCAGGCGTGTGCTCTGCAGTCTCACCGTCAAGTTTTATCATTTTACTTGAATTTTCATGATCATTTGAACATAACCTTGAACTGAAATCTGATCTATCTTCTTCAGCTGCTGCTCTCGGTTCGAGGGTTTGCCTCGGTTTCTCAATCATGTCTCGAGACAGATCCAAAGAATATAACATTTCAGCTAAGGTTTCCTCCTCATGTCCAAGTTGTTCACCAAGGCAGAGCTTGGATACTTCAACTGGTTTTATCGGTTTGGTTTTGTTTTCAGATAGAAGTCTCTCTTTTGCGTTGTCACTGGATTCAAGTGCTTCACTTGATATTTTCAGATCATTGAGAGAGCCCCAGAGAGAGATCTCTGATATTTCTTCGATGGCTTCGCCTGGTCCAAACAGTTTTCCCAGTTCAGACTCATCTAAACGAAATGTTGGAACTCTCTCTGCACCATCGTTCCATTCGTATTCTTTGCTAAATCTTCCTTCCGGATTCTCGTAGTTAGTTTCATATTCCTCCAGATGCAATCCGGGTGTATCTCCCGTGGTATCTCTCCACGTTCTTTCCCCTCCATATTCATCTTGTTCTTGAGGCTTCTCCATGCTATAACCTTCTTCTTGATACCGAGTTTTGCAGGTGCTTCCATATCAGATACCGGTCTATCTTCAGTTGTCTTGGCTTCTTCTTCTTCTGTTGTTTCATTCGTTTTCTCATTCTTGTATCCAATATCCTCCATGGAAACACCTGATCCATCTATGGACACCTTTCCTGCATCAATAGTATCACTTCTTTCATTTGGATTCTCATACATATTATGGGAGTGTTCCGAATATGCATCCTGAGATTTCGCCAAAGATTTCAGCGGACTGACTAGCTCGCCATCATTACTCAATCTACTTTTACAGACAGAATCTTCACAATCTTTGTCTGAGTATGACAGATGACCCTTGTCCGGACAACATTCCTTGTGATCTACTGAAGCTGAACCCCGATCTTCCAGATGATCACTACTATCACTATCATCACGATGACTCGGGCAGGGATCCAAAACGTTAGAAGAGAACTTAAGCACTCCTGAACAGCAACCACATCTCACCAGGTATCTCTTCTTTTTGCAGTGGAGAAACACCTGAGACAGTTGCAGAAGTTCCGAGCAATAGTAACAAGTTACAAAAGGGGCACCACCTGCTGTAGGAAGAACATGACGCTTAACCACTGGAATCCTCTCCTTAACATCACCATTCATGTCACTGCAAGTACCTTTCTGGCTACATGACTCAGTCTTGGAACTCCACACTGGATAAGGACGCTCAGAACGAAGTGGAATTGCCATGAAAGAGCTGCTATAATCGTAGAAACTCTGACCTGGGAATCTTTGGTGCCGAAAATGGCGCACTGGTGATTGTCCAGACAACAGCTGGTAGTACCTTGAATCAGTTGTTTCCCCCGAGAAATGGATCGATGAGGTACTAGATGTCTCTCCGGACCATCCCTCTCTTTCGTATTGCCTGAAATGCTTCAGTTGATGATAATTTCTCTGCTTGGAAGAAGACAGGGAAGAGCTCGCTGGATAGAAGGGAACAGGAGGTAGACTCTTGTATCGTATGCTATATGCAGAGGATCTGCCATGAACGAGCATATCAGAATCACTGGTGACAGGGAACTTGCCCCTTCTCAGCCACTCTTTGCGAAAATCGGATTTCTCATGCTCGTAAGCAGCTTCTGAATCATAACTTCTGGTACGAGAAGATGATGCAGGTGGATCATACACATGTTGTGTTTTCCTTACCTTAGAACCGTCATCTTCAGGATCATCCTCTGCTCTGAAATCACATTGTTCAGCAGAAAGGAGAGTAGCCTCTGACACAGAGATATCACTGATCCGGGCAACTTTCCCTTCTGATTTCGAATGTTTTGCTGCACCAAAAGGAAGAGGTTAAGCATCAAGAACATTCAGGAAACATATACAGATTCAGATTGTCTCTATTACATTGAAGGGCAGTTTCACATCTACTGCATCTATGGGCAGGTGAATCTTCTGGTTCCTGGAGAGTCTTCTGGCACTTGGGGCATCTCCCAAGTCTAGCTTGAAGAGTTCCTTCTCTGTTCTTTCTCTTCGTCAAGTTTCTGAGAAAAAGCTTGAGTTCTTTACCAACAGAAAGCCGCAACATTTGACAAAGCACCATTGAAAGACAAAACCCAAGTCACATTTCCCAGGATTTGAACTTGGAACATTGTCTGACACAGTGAGAGTCGGAGAAGAATCGAAGGGGAGAGAAAAAGAGGAAGCGACCTTAGAACGGAGAAGGGAGAGGAATCTCGGGGAGGATGAAGAGACAGCGAGAGATTCCTGGGTTTTGTCGGAACAAGGATTAAAGGATCTGTTCTTCTTCTTCTTCTTCTTCTTCTTCTTCTGCTTCTGCTTCATGTCTGAGGATTCTTGCGCTGGTGATTATTATTATGTCAACAAGCAGTACAAAGCTTTTCCCTTTCCTGGAAAATTATGTCAAAGAGACTGTGTTTAATATAAGAGAAGAAGTCCTTACGACAGTTAGTTACAGGGCATTGATTGCCGCCAAAAAGCCATTGAAAGACAAAGCTGAGGTCTCTGCCATTTGCATTGTCAACTTTGGAAATCGAGAAGAAATATTCCTTTGACAACTTCTTTTTATTTATTTATATTATTTGCCTATTTGGTGGTAAAATCTTTTTTTGTTGGCAATGATTAGACAATATGATGTGAACGATGTGATCTAAAATACAGTTTTTTTACACTTTGATTTTATTGATTATAACATTAAATCTATAGTGACCACACTAATTCATTATATTCATACATTGTATATCTTATTAATCATTTGATTAAATCATCATAAATTTAACGTTATAAGCAATGAGATCAAAATGTAACCACACTATATTTCGGGTTACATAATCACAGTTGGAGAAAGTATGTGTGGAAATCAAAATAGTAAAATAAAGGTATTTTTTATAATACTCCAAATTAAATAGATTTGAACAATATATCCCGGTAATAAATTTTTAGAATTAATTTATAAAAATCATAATTTTTTTATAAATTAATTAAAGACTATTTTAAATCAATATTGAATCTAAATTAAATAAAAAAATGCATATAAAAATTAAATGATAATATTTTAAGGAAAATTTAAATTCGAAAATAATAAATTGTAGGCCAGTAAGATACGGTTGTGTTATTTTTTTCTTTCAAAATTATTTATATAGACACGTTTATTTTATTTATTTCGGTTTTTTTATTTAATATGTTATAAATTACAAGCTTATTAATATCATTCTAGATCATCGATATTTCTTTTCTTTTAAAAAAAATAAATAAAAACAAAGTATCAGATCCACAACGACTATCTCCGATCCACGACAACGACCATTCTTCCTACGCATTGGAAATTCGAAGTGAACATAATCATAGCAATGAAAGCCGGTTTTCACCATGCAATTCATCATCTTGAAACACTAACCGTTTCCCTGTTCTGTTGTGTCTTTTGCCACTGCGAAGAACATATCTTCAGACAAAACAGAAAGCAGAACACAATGACCCAGAAAATTTATTCATCAAATCTTTGAATTGAAGTTAAACAAACTCGGTTCCCGAACGGATTGAAGAAGATGTTCTTCCATAACCACTGGTGAAATACCAAAAGATTGTCGGGTATGCTTTTTTCGAGTTCTGGAGAGGAAAAAACCAACCAATCCGGGAATTAGGAAGCATCTTTTTCGAGCTTCTCAAGTTCTTCTCGGTGCTTTCTTTCGGCTTCTTGTAGCTCTTTCTCGGCGTCTTCCTCCTCTTCGATTCTGTCAAGATTCTCAAACTCCTTGGTAGCAGCCATGGCTTTCACAACAGGATCTCTTAACTCAGAGATCAACCCACCACCGACCCTGTATTCTTCTTCGTCCCCAATTAGGAATAAACGTTGGTCAGGGCCAGTCACCATCGGAATATCCACTGCCAGCAGTTTCATGTCGTACTGAAAAGCAGATAAATGAACATGAGGATCACATCGATGTCTTTACAGGTAGACACGTGTTGAAGACCCAGACAGCTATTAGGGAGTATCCATGATGTGAGAAATAGAAGCACCTAAGCATCTAATGAAGCAGCTAAACCCAAAACAAAGCTTTCTCATCGATTTTAAGTACCCAATTGTTGAGGTTACAGGGCTGAGTTAAATTTAGTGCACACAGATTTGAATTTTCGCAACAATTTTCTTAGACTGCGTGTTCTTAACGAATAAGAATCTTTAACAAAATAATGTCATGCTACTACTTAGCTCATAGAAAAATGCTACAAAAAATGGGAGCCTGTGTGAAGAGATAGTTTGAGAAGAAGAAAACCTGGCCTTTCTTTTTCTTGACTTCAACACTGACAAGTCCTTTTCTCTCAGAACCCCGAATGGGGAAGATGAGAAAGCAACGCTTGCTCCTAATGGTCGGCTTGAAGTTCTTGAATGCGATGCCACCACCTGACATCACATAAGCCCGCAACTCTGATCCCGACAGAGGAGCACCCATAACTTCAAGAATATCAGCTGCTGTATTGAGCTTTCTCATGGTCATTCTGTAAACTTTATTGGGATTTATTGTGAATCTTGAGCGGAGGTATAAGCCCTGACATTAAACAAATTTGGATAGTGGTTAAGGAATGATATCATCATGAGATATAGGAAATGGAGAATTTTGAATAACCGAAAACACGGTTTAGATGGCTTTTCAAAGGGTTTAGATTTATGAAGCATAACATGATAGTGAAAGAAGAACTAATAACCTACACTTCATTGCCTTTTCTGTTTCTCATAGAATAGACGATCACATAAAGGGACACGGAATAACAATCAGAAAACACCTATACCAATACCACCAGTTCCCATGTACTGACCAAACACTCATTACACAGCAAGGAGTTTCCATATCCAGACACTATTAAATCAAGTCCACAGTTAGGAAATCATGACTTAACACAACCTACTTGACATTTGATCCAGGGAAATTTCATAACACAGAGATGGTAAAACATCCAGAAGAATAAATTGCATTGCCAAACCATATAAAGATGAACTACACTGAAAAGAACTAGCAGAACTTACAGAAAAAGCTACAATGGCAGAGGAAAGTGCAAGAAACCCGTACTTGGCCATGCCTTCTGAGAGACCGACAAATGTGTTGGCAATGCCAAACATAATCCTCCACAGCAAAATACATACAAAAACCGCTCCTCCTCCAAACAGAAACAGAGAATTCTTCTTCCAAAATGCATCAAAGTGCAACCCTATCGCCTCACGGTATCTTGAAAAAGTCGAAGTAACAGCATTCACAGGCTTATCAACAACCTTTCTCGTGAAATCCCCACTGATCTTTCGACCGAATCCAGAATTCTTAGTAGTGAATAACCTCAAGGCTGATGAGAAATTCACATTGACACGAGGCTTAACCAAGGCTGGGCCACAATGCTGCACCCGAGGAACGAGCATCGGACAGGACAGAATCTGAGATAAACCCACATTTGTCGAATTGGGTTTTGAAGATAAGCTGTGAAAACTGAACCTTGACTGGATCTGAGAAACCCCATTTGAGGAAACGGTCGGAGAAGGCGAGGGTGAGGGTTTTGACCGGCCAATGGTTACCGGGTTGACCCGAGCGTAATGCAGACGAACAAGCCCCTGAACTACTCTAAAACTAGAGGGTTTCACCATCTTTAACCTTTAGATCGATCGCACAAACTCGAACAAAGATCCAACCGTAATATCGCCGGCGATTCAAAATGAGAAGGGAAAGCTACCTGGTTTAGTGAAACTGATCAAGTCTGATCGCTAAATTCCGGAGAAGATACGATCAATTTCCGATCGAAGAGTCGAAGTTCCGATTGCAAAGGCAGGATCATGCTCGTATCTTCAATCCCATGGGAACAACCACCGTCTTCCCATTCCCCGAGCTGCCGATGGCGAGTCACCGAAATGGGTATCCACTATTCTGACGTCATTCGAATCGGAAATGTAAAACGGGTCGGGTGGGTCGGGTATTGAGCCGATTAAGTTGCCCAATTTCCTTGGGGTCCGTTGGGCCCGTTGCAAGCTAAAAAAAGATGCTCGAATATTTTTCCACGTGCGTAAATGGAATTATATACATATAGGATTTTCAAATAAATTATTTTTTTTGTAAAATAAAAGATGCGATAATCTACAACAGTATTTTTTTCCACCATATACAGGTACGTATGTTGAATTCTATAAAATAAAAAAATAGAAAAATAAAAAGATTCGTTTCACGATTTGGCAGTCTGCTTATCTATTATAAAACGAATAACTGTGTCTTTTTAATATTCAAACTCGTGATAAGTATATATCTATTTTAATATACAAGGACCAAATAAAAACAAAAAAAAAACAATCACAGGAATTCGTGTTCAAATCTTGTGAGATTCTAGGATGCATAATGACAACACTTTTAATCATGCTCCTTTATAGTTTTATACAATTCGATTTCCATATTTTTTGTAACCATCAAAACTTATTTTTATAATATCGGATGATCTAATATATTAGAATTAACATTGGAATGATACGGGATATATACTCGCGTATTTTAATTAATATTTTATTTCAAATTTCAACTTACGCTTTTTTTAACTTTAATTTCTTTATATTACATTTTATATTATTTGTAACGTTATAATAAATGCGTATCATGTATTATATAAATTATATTTTAAAAAATAAGGTGTTAAACTATATGAAAATTATGTAGAAATTTAAATATATAAAAATAAAGTATTTTAGATTAAACATTTTTACGTACGACCAAAGCCCCTCCACACAGATTTACAACTCTCCTCTCTCTCTCTCTCTCTTATGTGAATGTGAGATATGATGAGATCTAAAGGTACAGTTTTAGCTTTCCCTGACTCCCATGAAGACAATGACCCTTCATCACCATCACCATCACCATCATCATCGTCGTCGTCGTCGTCGTCGTCGTCATCATCCCCTTCTCTTGCTATCTTATTTTCTCCAGCAAAAATCTTCTTGAAACACTTTTCCCTGCAAAAGTAATTAAAACTATTCGGCTTTCACCCTCTTCTCCTCTTGCTTTGTTATGTCGTTGATCCTCACTGTTTTACTGTGTTTTTGGATTTAGGGTTTTCAGACAGATGCAAAGCCTTCATCAGACCGTATCTATCCAACCACCACTCTCGCTCAAGAACGATGTAAGGGTTTCCTTTGTCTGGTCATTCCATACATATATATATATATATACATGTCTGTGTTTGCTTGAGATCTGATCTGTTTTTTCTTGCTCTTTTGCCCCGAGAGATTAGATTCTTGTTTTGCAGAATCTTGGTTCTAGGGTTTTTTCCCCCTTTTTTAATAACCTATGTTTATCTCATAATCCCTATACCCATCGTGTCCGGAAAAAATGGATTTTTTTATATAACTTTGGGATAAACTCAAGCATGTGATTGATGAAGAGGTTTCTCCAGAATCATTGGAAGTTATTCAAATCCCGGAATCGTTTCTTCTTCTTTCGCATTCAGTTTAATCTCTAATAATTTTATTCAACAATTTTAACTCGTGATAAATCTGGTCAGCAATGTCTTTTTAGTTCACCCTTTGGTCTTCTCTTTGAAATTAAGCTATTCCTCTTCTGTCATGATCTGCAATGTCTATGGTGGAATCTTTTTTCCTTCACGCATGTTTTGGATCTATCTCCTTAGGTGTATACCCAAAACTAGCTATTATTGTTAAATATCAATATAATCTCATATATATATGTAGAACACTGTTCGTTTGCACAGGGATGTCATCGCCTAATTGAATTTGAAACCAATTTTAATATTTTAATTTCACTTTGAATTAAAACCTTCATTTAATCGATATGAATAGTTGGGGCTAATTTAATCTCTTGCTTGTCTTCTTGACAAGACCCATCAGCTGCGTCTCACTTTACCCTACGGGGTAGGTCTTACTGCTACAGGTAAAACTTGTTTCACTGCCTGAACTCTGATGACTTATCTTTTCAAACACTTACGTATATATATATGCGTACAGATTCAGAATCTGCAACGTTTACACGCGCAAACACAAGTATATACATATATTGATAGAACACATATAATCCTCATGCAGCATTGATACGTTCAATCAGCCTGCATCACATGCTGTCTTGGTTTTATTTGTCTTCGGTTGTCAATGGCACGTTATAAGCGATGCTAACAACGTGTTACGTGTATATATATATATATATATATA